TTAACACTCTCTAAAATGTGGCTTAGCTATATATGCTCTAGAAATATGTTGAAGCCATTATTATAAACCTACATATCATGTTCTCTTTAGATTCTTGTTTTGTCCTAAGGTCTATGAGGCCAGAACATCTTGGTGGGTGCTGCATGTCATCTGGTTTCTAGGTGGCATTCGAAAAAAGCAGCTCAGTTCCCTTCCTTGCCCATTAGGTGGGGCAAGAAAGCTTCAGAAGAGTCCCTACCAGCTAACACACCAAGAGGAGACTGAATTGCAGAAAAAGCAGTTACAAGGGGCGGGGATGTCATCCTAATCCACTTGGGTAGGATGTGTGCTAAAATTTTTCTTGGTTGTAAATAGTTTTCAGAGAGTTTTCTAGAGAACACTGTGTTAAGAATCTATAGGGCCAGGCGCGGTGGCTCACGCCTATAAACCTAGCACTCTGGGAGGCCGAGGTGGGAGGATCACTTGAGCTCAGGAGTTCAAGACCAACCTGAGCAAGAGCCAGACCCCGTCTCTACTAAAAATAGAAAAAATTATCCAGGCCATGAGTCAAGGAGTGCGGGTGGTGTTTAGAAACTGGAAAAGGTAAGGAAATAGATTCTCCCCTAGAGCTACCAAAAAGAAACACAGCCCTGCCAACACCTTGACGTTAGCCCCATGAGACCCATTTTAGACTTCTGACGTCCAGAATAGACAACCTACAGAATGAGAAAAATATTTACATGCTATATATCCAATAAAGGGCTGATAACTAGAATCTATATAGAACTCAGGAAAATCAGCAAGAAAAAATCAAACAACCCTATCAAAAAGTAGACAAAGGACATGAAGAGAAACTTTTCAAAAGAAGATAGACTAATGGCTAACAAACATGAAAAAATGCTCAACATCTCTAATCATCAGAGAAATGCACAAGATATCTCTTAACTCCAGTGAGAATGGCTTTTATCAAAAAGTCTCCAAACAACAAATGTTGATGTGGATGTGAAGAGATAGGAACATTCATACACTGCTGGTGGGAATGCAAACCAGTACAACTTCTATGGAAAGTAGTATGGAGATATCTAAAAGAGCTAAAATAGAACTACCATTTGATCTAGCAATCCCATTACTGGGCATCTACCCAAAGGGAAAAAAGACATTCTATAAAAAAGACATCTGCACTCGAATGTTTATAGTAACACAATTCACAATTGCAAAGATGTGGAAACAACCCGAGTGCCCATCAATGCATGAGTGGATTAATAAGACATGGTCTATGTATACCATGGAGTTCTACTCAGCCACAAAAAACAATGGTGACCTACCACTTCTTGTATTATCCTGGATAGAGCTGGAGCCCATTCTACTAAGTGAAGCATCACAAGAATGGAAAAACAAGCACCACATGTACTCACCACTAAATTGATGCTAATCGATCAACACTTAAGTGCACATATGTAAGTAACATTCATTGGGCAGGTGTGGGGAGAGGAAGGGATGGCTAAATTCACACCTAATGGGTGCGGTGCACACTGTCTGGGGGATGCTGGTAGCTCTGATTCCGGCAGTGCAAAGGCAATATATGTAACCTAAATGTTTGTACCCCTGTAATATTCTGAAATTTTAAAAAAAAAGCAGGAGGAGAAAAGTAAACAGTAAAACAGAGCGGGATAGCCAAGTGCTGCCCCAGGGCTTAGAGAAGTATGGGCAGATCTTCAGAAGAGAGATTTGGTGGAAGGGAGAAAATTATCAGAGACTGGAAGGACCTAAGTCTCCGGATTGAAGGGATCCACCAGGAGCTCAGCACAATCAATAAAAAACCCATACCAAAAGACCCATCATTGATAAATTCCAGAATCATCAGAGAAAAAGGAAAAATCCCAAATCTTTCCGAGGTTAAAAAGCAGTTCACATATACAGCGATGAGAGCAAAAGCAATGGAAACATGTTTTTTAAATAGAAATAAAAGGATTTCCAAACTATTCTAGATATTTCTTATAAGTGGAACCATACCAATATCTGGCCTTTTGTGTCTGGCTTCTTTTACTTAGCATAATGCTTGCAAGGTTCTCCCATGTTATATTGTGGCTCAGGACTTCATTCCCTTTTACGGCTGAATGAAATTTCATCATACGGATCTGCCACCTTTTGTTTATGCAGATAGACACTTGGGTTGTTTACACTTTTTGGCTATTATGAATAATGCTGCAATGAACATTGCCACACAAGTATCTGAGTCCCCGTTTTCAATTCTTTTGGGTGTATACCCAGGAGAGGAATTGCTGGGCCATATGGTAATTCTATGTTTAGCTTTTTGAAGAACATCTTGGAAATTTTTCACCACAGTTGTTAAGAGACCATTAAGTTAGCAGCGTTGTGTTCCCTGCAGTCCCTTGCAGAAATTGTCATCAGTGAGAACTCAACATGAAATTCAATTTCTTCTTTACTAAATATTATTTTAAGTATCATTAGACGGGGTTAGAATTTGAGATGAGAATGTACTTTAGAAAATTATCTGTAAAGTTTAATCTAGTTTTCACTATCTTAAAATATGTACAGCACAAACCCCCTAAATTTTAATATAATTCAGGATTTCAAGAAATATTTTTAACCTCTTGGGAATGAGATCCTGTCCCTGTTCTCTATAGTAGATATGTCTGGATGTCATACAAACTTCAAACACAATTTAAACATGTATGTGACTACCTGCAAAGACTGAACATACATATATCTAAGTATAATCTCAACTACCAAATAAATAAAGCTCAGAAAAAAAGACTAATGAAAAATATCAAAATGTTAGTTTACACTAAATATTCATGAACAGTGGGATTACAGATGAATTATTCTGTCTGGCCTCAAACAATCCTCCCATCTCAGCCTCCTGAGTAGCTAAGACTATAGGCACATGCCTGGCTATTTTAAAATTTTTTATATAAATGGGGTCTTGCTACGTTGCTCAGGCTGGTCTCACACTCCTAGCCTCAAAGGATCCTACTACCTCAGCCTCCCAAAGTGCTGGGATTACAGGCATGAGCCACTGCGCCCAGCCTGATTGACTTTTATTAGCAATTCACAAACCAGGCAGAGTCCAATATACAAAATAGAAAGGAGCTTCATAAGCTAAACAGAGTGGATGAGTTTCATGGGCAGAAAGGAACAAAGGAAAGCAGGAAAAAGAAACAGCAGATTGATCATTTTGAGGTTACTTTATAGGGATGTAAGCAAAATCTTGTTGGCTTAATAGGATTCATCTCTCTCCTTTTAAAAAAACTATTCAAAAATGTAGGATTTATTAGGTAAAATCTGGTACATAGTATCCATCTATATAAATTGCTATAATGTAAATATAGTAGTTTTTCCACAGGAAAAAAATGAAAATGTATCCTCTAAAATATTTGTAATAGTTTTTTGGTAAGACTATGGGCAATGCTTTAAATTGAAATTTATATTGAGATAATTATAGATTCACATCAGCTATAAGAAATAATGCGGAGAGATCCCGCATATACTTTACCTAGTTTCCCTCAATGCATCAATTTTTAAAGCCAGAAAAACCAACAACAGAACAGTGCCTTCTGAGGTTTGTGAAACCAATAGGAAAGAAATGTGATGAGGGGATGTTCAACCAGGAATGCCAAGTTTTCTCTCAACCTTTTGCATGTATGTCCACTCTAGTCTATACTGCAATTCTTTATTTTTGTGAATCTCTTCCCCAATAGTGTATGAGGTTCCTCAGAGCAAGAACTGCATCTTATTATGTTTGTCTTCCCAGGGCCAGTGAAGGGCCTAGCACACTGTGGGGGTGGGGGGGAAGGGGTAGAGAGGCATTGGGACTTACCAGAAAAACTTCCCAATTTGTACGCATTTGAGAATTCAAATTCTTTCCAGCCAATAAAAAATGCTATGGATGACCTTTTGTTCAACCTCCATATGAAAATTAGATAGTTCCTAATACACATATTCTACTCAATACTTACGCGTTCATCATTCAACTAATTTTTAATGAGTTCCTGCCTCATGTCAAGTAGGATGCTGGGTACACTGGGGATACCATGGTGAACAAGACAGACATGGTCCTTGTCCTTATTTTATAGTCTAAATCATAAAGCAAGTCTTTCTTTTTAGGCTGAGGAACTAATACGTGGAATGTTTTCTGAATAGGTATTTTGCAGATAACATGTTTTGCATTTTAAGACAGTGCCAAAAGTATTATCCAAATATGCTTACATAATGAATTAGCTGTGGAATGAGTGATATTAAATTGGCCACCTTACTCTTAAGTGCTGTGATAAATAAAATAGTGCTAGAGACTAAATGCCATGTACCAAGTTACATTTCTATGTCTGATGTGCATTTTCCCTATTAGACTGTACCATAAAGGCAGGGTCCATGTGTATTGTCCTCTTGTTCATTGCTGTAATTTTAGTACAGATAGTTTCTGTGCAATACATAGCTGTCAATCAAATGATTAAATATTCAAGGCCCATAACTGTCCCCTAGAATATAGAAATAAATAAAATCAATTATTTCAAAATGTAAGACAGATTTGATAAGTACATAACACAATACAAAGTTGCCATGTTATCTGTGCACCCACTTCTTTCTTACAGTAAGCGGAATGTTCCCTGACTTACAGAGATGGTACACAGCATGAGGCAGGCCATCTCCTAAAGTTATTACTTCACTAGCAATGACTCAAGTGTACTTGCTCCCCTTACCACTGATCCACTTAAGGAAAAGGCTGTCCCATCTTTTAAAGATATGTAAAAGAAAACTGAATGTTTATAGTAAGAGTTTTCATAATCTAGTCATGAAATACCAAGTTCTTATTGAGCTTCATATTTTGATTTAGAAAGCTCTCATGTCTAACCTCTGCTCAAATAAAAAAAAAGAAAAAAAATAGAAAGCTCTGTCTTTGTAAGTGCAGAACTGTGCTTTAAACATCAGTAGGTCCTACCCGAGGCTGTGAGTCTCATATGAAATTAAAATAATGTTCCCACAAACTGGCAAGTAACTTCTTTAAGCAGAAAGAGCAACAATGTTTTATTGTATTACAAATAAACATTTCACAAAATTGTAATTGGGAATGTATATGTACTGTTAAGCATGACACAGAAAACATGAAGAAAAAAGGTATTGGGACCTAAAAATTTCACTTAAAATCCCATCGGTTTTATCTTACACATAGCAGGTATGCAATACGTATCAACTGAACTGAAAATAAACATTCTAGAAGATATGCTTGCAAAATGTGTAATGCTATAGTAGTAAAGTACAATTTTAAAATGTGAGATTTTGTCTGTCAGATTTTTAAAAAGCCTTTAAAAATATGATATGCACAAGCTTGCCCTGAGGGAAAAATAAGATGGACTATAGATTACAAAATCTTTACATATTTTCCACAATAGCATTTTGAAATTGGAAAAGAGCAAATAGCATGGAAAAAACTGGATGAACATATTACTAAAAATTCAGTGCACTCACAACTACCTGATGGAAAATTTGAAGCACCTTTTCTCTTGCCTTCTTATATTATAATATGAAATGTATGAATTATATAGGCCTTGATCTTCAGAAACTTAAGAAAACTTCAAGTTGTAAGCCAAAATGTCATCAGAAAAAGAAAAATCTGGTATAAAATTTGCTACTGTAAGGCCACTGTTTAAAGTTCTTTCATGTACAGACACTATACAATTTGGATACTTTTGTTTTTGTTTTTATTACATAAGCAAAACTTTCAACATATAAATGTCTGAATATAACTTGGTTAAGTTCTCTTTATGAAACCATGCTCAGAGAAAAACGCATCAACAAATAATGCCCTTCAAGTGATTCTTGTGAGAGTTTTTGCAAAAGAAACCATACTTAATACAACTTTTAGATTGAATACTGTAATTTAAAAACAATTGTTAAGTATAAAAGAATTGCAGCATTCCACTACTAAAAAATAAAGTTATTTTATCAAGAAAGTTACAGTATTAGTGCCTTAGTGCCACTTCTAACTCCTGACAAAAAGAGATGATCCCAAATTTTCTTCTGTAGTGTTGTTTCCATTTGTAACATTTCCAGATTAGATTTCTGTGGCAACATTTTTATATTCCTATTGAGAGAAAACAAGAGAAATAAAGACTTCAAAAGAAGTGTCAATTATAACATCTGAACTAGAGTTTTGTTTACACTGCAATTTTCAAAATATTTTAATTTACATAATACTACTTGCACCCTGAGATCCCCATAAAGCTATGTAGAATCTCAAAGACGCATACTAACAACAGAACACATCAAAGCAGATATCAAATGATAAGTCAATAGGACAAAGAAAACATGGCACTAGATAACACTGGTATTAGTAAATTGATGAAAACAGAATTCTGCTATTTGGGTGAGTTTCAGTGGGATATCCCTGGCATAAAACCAAGACTCTTAAACCTTAGTCTCTCAAGAACAGAGCCTGACACTACACACACACACACACCTTGAACTAGTATTTTATCTTTTCTATCATATAGTATCTCTAATTCTAAAACTATATGGACTCTTCTCATTTGACTGATAACTGCAGAGGAAGCTATTGGTGGGGAATCTTTCTTGCTTTTTGGATGGTTACCTACAACATAAAAATATGTAAGCCCTCAATAAATATGGGAAAAATAATTCACAAGAACAATAAGACTTTGATTAAAGAGTAATGAAAGTGGATTCTATATTGTGCTACTATGCAAAATTTTAAATAACTAACCACAAACTGGACATAAGACCATGCAACTAATAAAAGAGCAAACATGGTAAAATGGCATGTTTTTTAGGGATATTAAAAATAAAAATTTATTAATACATATATCCTTACCTTTTACTAGGATCTTACATTATTAAAACTGAAAGAAATTTAAGAGTTGATTTATTTTTTGGCATTTATATTAGTATGGAAACTTTTAATTCCAAATAAAAACAGTGCTGATAGAAAATTCTTATTCTTTCTATTTTGGTTAATGAGATGTTCAAAATACATGCATATATATTTTTGTCAACATCATTCCTTTAAATAGAGTTAGACTTCATTGTATCCTATTTAATTTACTCATTATACAATATAAAAATCATATAAGATTACCTTCAAATAAAATATCTGTTACCTACTTACAACCTTAAAAGGAAATTCTGTCATAATTCTAAAATAAATTTCAACTGAAATATCTTATTTATAAAAACATGCGATTATTTTGAATGACATTCACCCTTGACATAGCTTCTTTTATAAGATCTCTCAAATAGATTCCTCCATCCTTCCCGTGATTTAAAAGAATGCTGAACTAGACATATGAGCACTTCTCATCTAGGTTTTCATAACTTGACATCTGGGTCCCTGCAAATGTTCCCTATTGGTCTTCTGCACCTCATCTCTCCTCCCAGAACCTGCCCATCCACTGCTAACTAAGTGACCATCCTAACGTCCTACTTTCTTCTTTTCAGTCTAGGAAGATATCCTACTGCTACCACAAATCCTAAATATTCTCCCCAGCTTTCAAGGCCCTCTATAATTTGCACATCCCCCTTTCCCCAGCCTTATATCCTATTGTCAAACATGGAGCTTTGTACCCAGGCCTCAGCTCACAGCCTACCTCCTCTGTGAAGAGCATATCAATCAAAGTACCTAACATATATCCACTGCCCACTCCTCCCACATTGATCTTCACCTCCCTTTAAGCATTGGCCATCTGTGAAATTAAGCTCTTCAAAAATACGGTTGTGCAGTAAAGAGTTACCATAACAGGCCTGACTGCTGTCCTTCAAAAGGCCCACTTACAAGGCTGGCCCTTGGCCGGCATCTGGGGATGTGGATTTCAGAAGGGTTCCCACTATTAACTGATGAGTGCTGAAACTGTTTGTGTAAATAATATGGTTTATGCTGAACACTTGCTTTCCTTTGGGGAGTCTGGAATTTGGGTGTGTGCCTGGCAGGGGATGCCTATGTCATCAGCCCCCAGTAAAATCCTCGGGTACTGAGTCTCTAGTGAGCTTCCCAGGCTGGCAACATTTCATGTGTTGTCACAACTCGTTGCTGGGGGAATTAAGCACGTCCTGTGTGATTCCACTGGGAGAGGACTCTTGGAAATTTGCACCTGGCTTCCTCCAGCCTTTGCCCCACGTGCCTTTCCCTTTTGCTGACTTTGCTCTGTCCCCTTTTACTGTAATAAATCATAGCCATGAGTACAGCTGTAGCCAGAGTCCTCTGAGTCCTCCTGGTGAATCATGAAACCTTGGAGGTGGTCTTGGGGACCCCTGACACAATGGTCTTTGTTTGCCAGCTTTTTAGAGCATATGATAGACATGTGTGAGTGTGTGTATATATGTATATGATTAGATTCGATTCCATTCAATGAGCATTTTCTAAAGACTACCTATATGAAAGGCAACAAGGGAAGATATAAGACTAATGAGGTACCCCCTACCCTCCAGAATTTGATAATCTGTTTGGGGAAATAGGAAGGTAAACAACAATAATTGGAGACCAAATGAAACAAGAGTTAAGAAGGGGCTTTGGTAAGGCTTTACAGTGACGGTTTTGTAAGGAAAGTAGGGTTTAATAAGAAAAGAATATGGCTCAGGAGGCTGTTTCTGGCCATGAGAACAGTAGGAACAAGGGTACAAATACATGAAAATATATATTATGCTCCCCAAAGCAGAGGGCCCACAGGGAAATGTAGGTAGAAATGTAGCTTAGGACTTGACCTGGCTATCAAGTTTGGTCTCTTTGTTTTGTAGGCAATAGATACTTGGAAGGTGTTTGTGCAAAAGTAGTATGATACACTCCGTGTTTTGGGACAATGATTGTGCTAGTAGTAAAGAGACTGAATAAGCAAATCACAGGAGGCAAGGATATAAGTTAGAAGGTTCCAAAGCTTCCAAAAACAGACCAGGGATACATAAAAATGTAGAATATTTTAATAGTGAAGGCGGCATTTCCAATTAGCAGGGAGAGGACAAATTATTGAATGAATGGTATTAGAAAAACTATCTATTGGGGAAAAATTAGATCTTTCACATTATATCATAAATGCTAAATGGATTAAATATTTATATGTTATAATTTAACCATAAAACCTCTTGAAGGAAACACAGTAAAGAATTTTTTCAGTATAAGCATGGTATGAAATCTAGAAGCCATATGAGACAAATTTAATAAATTCATGAACATCTAAAAGTCCTATAATGTAAAAGCCAGCATAAACAGCTGACAAACATAAAATGAACACCAGCAAAGTGTACAACAGGTTAATATCCTCAGTATATCAAGTGCTCCTACAAATCAATACAAATAAGTACCATCCCCCAAAAGAAACATGGGCAAAGTGTAGAAATAAGGAGATTAAAGAAAGAAATTCAAGTGGCCAATGAACACATTAAAAAGATGCTCACACCATTAATAATCAAAGAAAGGCAAATGAGAGCTACATTTTGCTATCAGACTGACAACAAAAAGTAAAGACTGAGAACATGTAGTGCTGCCTAGGGTGTAGGTAAACAGGTCCTTTCGGGTACTGCTGGTGAGAGTATAAATAAGCAAAAGGGGCAACACGGCAAGGTACCAAAATGTCAATGTGCCCAAGTGGTATTGGGATATGCATACCTTTAGAGGTATACAAAGACTTTCCAATGAGTATGTAGGTACAGATAGTTTTAAGGAATTAATTTCCTGATCTTCAAATTTCCAATGTACACTTTCCAAATTTATGCTGCCTGCACAATTGGTTAAGGCTGGTTCCCCACATCCCCACCTTACACAAGAATGATCATCGTCCCATCCCAAATCTTACTATTTTATATTACCTGGGGATCCCCCAAAAAGGGGCAATTTGAAATACTGGGTGTCAAGAAAGTGAACTAGTCCTAACAACTACTAATAAACAGTATGCTTCTGCAAGTCAGTTGGTTTCAATTCTTTGCCCTTGTTTAATAAAATTTAAGGAGTACAAAATCAAGTTGTTGGTGATAGAACATTCAAAATACTTTTTGATGATATTTCACTAAGTGATTTTTTTGGCCTATAATTCAGAGTGAGTCCAAAGAATCGACTGGCATTGCTATAATAGAAGTCCTTTCATTCCCATCTATATAACCACATAAACAAGGTTTCTCAGCACTTACATCTATAAAAAGAAAAAATAGAATTAGAATAGATACTTGAACACTGTATTATTCTACCAGCAATAATATTTATCCATGAATACATGAACTAATTGAAAAAAGAAATGCATTTGCAATAAAACTTCTTTTGTCTAATCAACACTTAACAAAATTTGTAATATAGTTAGGATATTTTGATCAAATGTAATATTAACTCAATTCTGAGGAAATATTTAACATCCAATAGTCACAGAAATCTAATAACATTACATGCCAGATTAGGTTTGGTGATCCATAAAATATTTTGGAAGATAAAATTCTATGAGGGAAGTAGAATAAAGTCCAAATTCAAGGCAAAAAAGGAATAACATAAAATTTCTCACTGTTAAAAAAATTTGTGTATTTTTTATATGGATGAGGTTAGTTATCAAATTCCTATAGTATGAAGGTTTCACTAAAGGAATTTAAAAGAATTATGTAACAGTTTTATTTAAGACTGTGTTTATAAGATGCTAGAAATTATATCCTTTATGATAACTTATGATAAAAAATATTAGATAACCTAAAAATGTGCAAGGAGGTGGATAATATTGTGAAATTTTACAGTATGTGAGCAAAAGGTTTAAAGAGCACTAAAAAAATACATCTATAGAGTGGAATAATATGTAGTTGTTAAAATAAAATTAAATGGAATAATGAATGATAGAAATAAGAAGACTTGGAATGGCTGAAGTTGTAATGAGAACTGGGAGGATTAGGAGGACAAGTTTCTAGCTTTGCTTGGCTAGCTGCGATGAACCTAGAGGGGAAATGAGTGGTCTGGGAAGGAGAGCAAGTTTGATACAATTTTTAACAGCTTTACTGAGATGTAATTCACATACTATAGAGTTCACCCATTTGAAAGTATACAATTCAGTAGCTTTTTAGTGTATTCACAGAGTTGTGCAACCATCAATCACCACAATCAGTTTTAGAATATTTTCTCACCCCAAAAAGAAATGCCATACTCATTAGCAACGACCCCATACCCTCCCTTCCCAATTTTCCCCTACCCATCCCCCAGTCCCTGCCAACCACTAATCTATCTGTTTCTATGGCTTTGCCTGTTCTGGGCATTTCATAGAAATGGAATCATATGTGATCATTTGTGTCTGGCTTCTGTCACTTAGCATTTTATTTTTAAGGGTCGTCCATGCTGTAGCATGTTTCAGTGCAAGTTTGATATTAAACATGCTGAATTTGAGGTGCTTTTAGGACATCTATGTGCAGATGTCTGGGAGGCAGCTGAAAATCTGGTGGTCTGGAGAGTAGTCAGGGCTTAAGACATCAACAGTAGTGATGGCTGAAATTCTGGGAAGAGGTAAGGCCAATTAAGACAAATAGGAGGAATAAGAAGGGAGAATAATGAGTATCACACTAGAAAATGCTTACATTTGTAAAGAATACATGGTGGAAGAGAAACCACCAAATGCGACAGAGAAGTCAGAGAGGTAGGTGGTGAAACTGGAGGCTCTAGATCATAAGTGCTCGAAGGTGATGATGCTTTTCACACACTTCTTTTGCACCCTGGCACACTTCAGCTCGAGGGACGTGGCAAGTGTATAATAGATTCCTGTTGATTCAGCTGATCTTGGTTCTTGTTCTACCTTTGTACTCCACAACTTTCAAGGTTTCTTTCAACCCCAAAAGCCATGAATCCCAGTGTCTAATTTCCTTCCCACATTGTCTTTATGCCCTCTCCTCTCTTCCCTTCCTATCCACTGATATAATGCTATTTTTCCCATTTAAAATATAATTCTGTAGAAATTAATTTTATGTCATATTTATGCTGCATTTTCAAATACTAACATGGCTAATTCAAATAAAATCAAGCCACAGCTAAAAGAGTACATAATTTAAATTATCAAGAAACTTTTTATTAACATTAAGAGTTGGCACAATGGAATCAACCCCAGTTTCTATCAATGGATAAATGGATAAAGAAAATGTGGTATACATACACAAATGGAATACTATTCAGCCTTAAAAAGAAGGAAACACTGTCATTTGTGACAACATGGGTGAACCTGGAGGACATTTTGTTAAGAGAAATAAGCCAGGCACAGAAAGACAAAGCAATATAATCTCATCTGTATGTGGAATCTAAAAACAGCTTAATTCATAGAAACAGAGAGTAAAATGGTGGTTACCAGAGCCTGGGGAAACTGGGGAGAAGTTGACCAAAACATTAACACAAAATTTCAGTTAGACAGGAGAAATAAGTTCAAGAGATGTATTGTATGTCACGGTGACTATACTTAATGACAATATATTGTATACTTGAATATTGCTAAGAGAATAGATTTCAAATGTTCTCACTACAAAAAAATTATGTGAGGTAATGCATATGTTAAATAGCTTAACTTAGCCATTCTACAATGTATACATATATTGAAACATCATGTTGAACACCATAAATATATATAAATGTACTCAATTAAAAAACATAAATTAAAGAGTTAGCATATAGTAGTGATGATTGCATAGCATTGTGAATGTAATTAATGTCACTGAATTGTATACTAAAAAATGGTTAAAATGACAAATTTTATCTTATACATATTTTACTACAATAAAAAAATACAAATGGGAAAAAAAGGAAGAGTTAGTGTATTTTGCAATTATGTACCTTTTGTCTATAGTCAGTTCAATATTTTTTGGCACTTAGCTAATTACATAAGACTAAAATATATCAGTTAAAAGCCTTTACCTAAATTTCCATTTCAAAGATTAACCATACAACAGAAATTCTAAAGTAAAAAGTTGAAATAGCTGGTATATTAAAAATATTTGAGGTATAATAGCTAAAAGCATTTTAAGATTAGTCTCACCACTCTATTACCATTATCCCTTGAAGTTTTTATTCAACTACCATGCAATAAGAGCATTTTTTAAATTGAAGGTGTTCCTTACATAAAAATTAAATGAAAAACCCAATGTATCTAATGAACATAGATAATTTAGTAGTTCAAAAGTCACTCAACGTTTTTAAATGATCATAATTCAACTAACCTTTTTTTTCCTCAGTAATCTTTCTCTGAATTTATTAGTGATAAATCCCCTTGGACCAGCAAACCGTAAACGCTGATATTTAGCCTGGATGTACAAGCTCTTCTGTACTAGGCCTGATTTATAATGGGGCTGGAATCTCCCACCTCTAAAGTTGCTCTGTAAAGGAAAAAAATAATTAAATTTAAAACTACAGCTTCTAAGTTTACTTTATTAGTATAACAGATGGAAAAATGTTTGGTACTTAGAGCTGCCCTTGATTCGAGGCATTTTAGATATCAAAAGGAAAGGAATTAATAATGGTAATTAAGCACATTTTCCCCAAACTAGCTTCCTAGCTTATTTTATATACTAATATATATATTTAAAATCTCTATCCTATCATACATCAAATTTTTAAAACTGTTAAAAGAACCTGAAATTAATTAATTAATTAAATTAATTAATTGCTCGAGGTCAAGAATTCGAAACCAGCCTGAGCAAGAACAAGACCCTGTCTCTACTATAAATAGAAAGAAATTAACTGGCCAACTAATATATAGAAAAAGTTAGCCGGGCATGGTGGCGCATGTCTGTAGTCCCAGCTATTTGTTGAGGCAGAAGGATTGCTTGAGCCCAGGAGTTTGAGGTTGCTGTGAGCTAGGCTGACGCCACGGCACTCACTCTAGTCTGGGCAACAAAGCGAGACTCTGTCTCAAAACAAAAAACAAAAAAAACAAAACAAAAATGCCAAACTATTGAGACAAAAAAACATTTCAGTGACATATGGCTTAAAAAGAAGAAGGAGGAAAAAAGATATATGAAGCCATATGAAGAGAAACCCTGGGCAAAATTAAAATTAAACTTTTAACAAGACCAGCTCAGCATAAGTTGAATACTGGGAAATCTAATTCCAAGAAATTGGGAGAAGCTATGGTAGAAAAGGAAAGACTCTGGTGGTCTTGACATGCTCTCTCAGGTGGAATTATAGTTAACTGCAAAATTGTTCTGAACTTATTTAATGAAATTCACACCTGATACTAAATGCAAGATACAAAGATTAAATAGACCCATCCCTTTTCCTTCAGGGGCCAACAACTTAGTCCAGACACTGGGTCTGCACACCTGACAGGCAGCTAGTCTTTCTGACTATGCCAACAGTCATCTCATCTTCACCAAGATTCAAGAAAAGGGCTCTTTAAGCTTGAAGAGCATAAAAGAATATTTATTTTTAATGGCACAAGCATGGAGTCTTATTCTTCCATCTCCTCTTACCACTCAAGAGTTAAGGACTCAATCAGTGTTCATTTATTGGGCAGTGACAAGGGTCAGAATAAAAGTTGCAAATTCTATACCTTCAAAATAGCAGCCACTGCATATTGAATTTATACCCAAATGTGCTCTTTTTAAAATAAAATCATAATTCTACTCAGAAGACTGGTATATATCAGAAATAAATTTTATTATCTGCTATTTTTTTTCAACTTCTCAATTTTCTCAAGCAAATGCTCACAGTAAAAAGGAAAATACAATCTAGTTATATGTAAATATTTGATCACAAAGTTGCACAGAGAGAGTTTTGTTTTTAAACCAAATTCTTTCTTTGTTCTGAATAAAAAACATCCCTGAGTTGCATTCCAACAACTATGTGACCAGGGTCCAATCAAATGGAATAAAGTTAATAGTGGCCCCTTTTCAAATGTTTTCAGGAAAGAGTTTAGTATTTGTAAACTATTAAAGCTAAAATTATAAAAACAAAAACACATTTAGTTAATAGAAAGTCAAGGTCTGAATAAACCTATATATCCCTATACAGATATAAAACAGGCAAGATTCCCTCAACATGTTTGTGAAGAGCTAAACAATAACTCCCCTTATTAGATTGTAAGATTACAAACACTATTAGCCTCTAAGGAAGTCAATAAAATTGTTCACAAACACTATAATGGCTGCATTAAATAAAAGCTTTCTTCAAACACTGCTTGTTTCCCCTCCGATAATGAACTTCAGATTAACCAGAAACTAAGCCAATGCCAGAAGGAAAAGAGATTGGGACTTGTCAGGTGAGTTGCTGTTGCTGGAGCTGCTGCTTTTATATTTTTTTTTTCCTAATTCCTGGTTAAGTTCACATTTTTTTTATGCTTAAAATTTTTTTTTCTGGCTGGGCACGGTGGCTCACGCCTGTAATCCTAGCACTCTGGGAGGCCGAGGCAGGCGGATTGCTCGAGGTCAGGAGTTCGAAACCAGCCTGAGCAAGAGCGAGACCCCGTCTCTACTATAAATAGAAAGAAATTAATTGGCCAACTAATATATATATATAAAATTAGCCGGGCATGGTGGTGCATGCCTGTAGTCCCAGCTACTCGGGAGGCTGAGGCAGAAGGATTACTTGAGCCCAGGAGTTTGAGGTTGCTGTGAGCTAGGCTGACACCACGGCACTCACTATAGCCTGGGCAACAAGTGAGACTCTGTCTCAAAAAAAAAAAAAAAAATTTTTTCTGCTTCTTTTTAAAAAAAGGAGACAGCTGTGAAGTTATGAAAGGGGAGAACATTAAAAATATTAAGCTGCTAATTTAATAAAAGCCATAATGTGTATGATACGGAATTATGGCTTTAAAACTACAGCCTAATTAATGTCTAGACATCTAAATAGAACACACACAATGCTTAGGTTCTATAATAATTTTCAAAGATTTGGCCATAGGAATGAATTTTAATCTATTTGAAATTTAGTGTTTGATTTATTTTATTTAAGTTCCATCCTCAGAGTATTTAATAACAGGAAACTGACCATGGGCAATATTGGGAAAATGAATGTACAAATGGTGTATTACAATGGAGTAGTTATAAAAACTAAGTAGATTCCTCTTTCACACATTTTAGAGATGGGTGTGTCATACATAATGAAGCATATATGTTTACAAGAAAGTATTTATGCTAGGTCTATTTTTCAATTATTGTCATAAGACTACAGAAAATTTCAGGTGAAACAGAATTACAATGAAACACCATAATTTTGTCAAGACTATCTGCACAAATTTGATACATCAGAGCTAATTTTCAGATTGACATGGTCCAGTTCTATATATCCAATAAGGTGACTACTATCTGGCTTTGAATGAGTTCATTTCATGTAAAAAGTAAATGCTAACAAAATATTTCCTTTTCTTAGGAATAATAATTTCTTCCCACTATTTTCCTATAAAGAATTGTACACTTGTATGTAATCATATAACATTACACAACTTTAAATGACTGGTTAGGAGGAAAATTAATTCATATATTTTGAAAAAACATTTCTAAGAATTAAAGAACCTTTCCTTAAGGAAAAAGGGTAATGGGAGATAAATCTTATGATGATCTTAGAAAAATACTATAATCAACTATATCTGCCAATGAGAAGAACAACATATAGGAAGCAGTTAGATCTGAAAGCTCATATACACTGTCTATAAGTTATATAGGCACCAAATTTTCACCTGATTTGATGCCTCATTACTCAAGAGATCAAAAGGTGGTATAAAACAGGTTTATGTATTCTGTGACCATAGTTATTTTTGAAAACTTCATGTCACATGTTTTTAGGTATACAAATCTATCATTGGCTAAAAATGTAATTTATGCAATACTTACAAATTATATTACTCCCAGTAAATAAAACCCTTCAACATCTATAAATTTTGACTCTTGAGAAGCCAAGCATTAACAGAAGATCACTCAAGTACCCTTCTAGTCTATGGTTTTGGGATAGCTTATACCACTTTCCTGCTCATACTAACTTCTTCCTAATGAGCTAACTATTCTATCAAGCCTTCCTGCTACTTTCACACAAAAACTCAAACTCTTTCCTTTTGGGGGTGGAGGGAAGAGACAATATAGAGTGAAAAATATGAATAAAGTACCATCATAAGCAAGAAATTTAGTCAAAATGGATTTTAAATGCACTTCAACTTTTGAGAGGAAAGAAAGAAATACAATACTTTGTACTATAATTCTTACTCCGTATGTTTAGGGAATGAGGTGTTCTGGATAATCAAACATGTTGGTTGATGAAAAACTATCATTTACATCAGATATACATGCACAAATAATTAGAATGTGATAAAATATGCTTTAACAAAGTTTTCTGGACCAGAATCTTTCTCTGATGATCCAGAAGATCTCTGAGGGTTACATGTCTATGGGCAGTAGTTTTTCAATCTACTGAGTCCCGGAGAAAGCTCTATAGCTCTGCACTTCCATCTTAGAGGTACACATGCTGGCTTAAAAGGAGGGGTCTAGAACCTTGCCTGCCTCCCCACCTAGAGCCACTCCACCTGTATCTGTTTTTTGTATTTTTTTTTTTTTTTTTTTTGGAGACAGAGTCTCGCTTTCTTGCCTAGGCTAGAGTGAGTGCCGTGGCGTCAGCCTAGCTCACAGCAACCTCAAACTCCTGGGCTCAAGCAATCCTCCTGCCTCAGCCTCCCGAGTAGCTGGGACTACAGGCGCGAGCCACCATGCCCGGCTGATTTTTTTATATTATATATATTAGTTGGCCAATTAATTTCTTTCTATTTTTTATAGTAGAGACGGGGTCTCGCTCAGGCTGGTTTTGAACTCCTGACCTTGAGCAATCCGCCCGCCTCGGCCTCCCAGAGTGCTAGGATTACAGGCGTGAGCCACCGCGCCCGGCCTGTTTTTTGTATTTTTGTTTCCATGTAATATTTGAAAAAGGGTTTCACTGGTAAAAAAAAAAAAAAAAAAAAAGAAAATTGAAAATCAAGTCCCAAGGAAAGGGCCACCATTAAACTGATTACAGTTCATTATAAATGTCCAGAAATACCAGTTTATAGCTACTATTTGAAAGCATATCATAAAAACAGCTTCTAATTTACTAACTCTTAGAACATTATGTTCAGAGCATAAAACCAAAGCCGGATTTAAATGGAAAACAACACCTAATATCTTAAAAGGTCTTTTAAAGCCGCTTGTGTTTTGATGGTTTCCCTCAACTCCAAATAATTTATGAGTAATGATATCTTTTCTCTGCATAGTATAATTCTGCATGAAAAAAGTATTAGTATGGGTTAATATAGCTTAAAATTTATCTTAAAAGCTTGTTTCATCATTTAAAAAAGACGTGTTTTAGATGTATAGGATTAAGAACACAAAGCAGGGAGCAGGGAGCTTAGCTGTAAGAACACACACATCTCCCTTCGAGTGTGGGCAGGACCTAGTAACTTGCTTCTTTCAAAAAAAATATGATAAAGCGATGGATATTACTCCACAAGTTAGGTAGGTTACAGACTCTGGCTTTCATCTTTCTAGCCACTGTTTTCTCTCGTGGAAGCCAGCTGCCATTCTGTGAGCTGCCCTATAAAAAGGTAAATCTTTAAGACAGAAAGTAGAGCAGTGGTTGGCTGGGGGTGGGAACACTGAAATAGACATGATGACTCTTACTGGGTATTGAAAATATTCTAAAACTGGACTATGGTGATGGTTACACATTTTGGTAGTTACTAAAAATCATTAAATTGTATACCTAAAATGGGTGAATTTTATGGTATGTAAATTATACTCTAATAAAGTTGCTCAAAAAATCTTAAAGCTTGTACTATAATAAATCCATTAAATCCTACTACATTAAGAGAGAGATGACCATGTCTTTTGTCATGATAACTTTAAGTCGCAACAGAATCTTATAACATATACTTAATGAACACTCACAAACATTAGGAAAAATATTGGTGATCCCTGTACCTATCGATATACTTGGGAAGAATGTATAACAGTGAAAATTTTGGCATTGTAATCTTACCATGTAAGGTTTCTGAATAAATTTTCTGGAATTTGATTTTATAAAATATGTAGGTTTTTGGAATCCATCAGTATGAATGTTCACCTTTGAAAAATTAGAACGCTGATCATTCCTAATAAAATGAAAGAGAAAATAAGAATCTGTTATTAGTTTACCTGTTTCTAACAAATAAATAAGAAAAGTAAAAAAGCCCCTTCAGAAACAATTAAAGAAGCACAATAGTAAAATATCAATGATCTATCACTACTAAAATTACAAATGATAGTTATCAGGCTAAAACCCTCATTTTTCAACAAACATCATTTAGCTAAGTTGGAAGGTAGCAATGGGGGAAAACAATATTCCTTGAACCATGGTTCTCAATCTGGGATCCAAGGACAGGATTCCTGGGGGCTTCCCCCTGAAAGCACACATGAAATGTTTTCTGAGAAAAGAGAATCACTGCTCTAGAACCTTTGGCCATACTACTGCCTCCAGCCCCCAGACGTACTGGTGGAAGCACCAATGACTCATGTCACCACTGTTATAGTTGTTGTTTATGACTTTTTTCACCTGGTAATCTGTTGTTGTAAATATACTGCCAAACTTTTGCAATGGCATACGTAAAGTATAAACCTTCCATCTGAAACATCATACCAAATCAGCAAGAAGTAGATCCATGACTACGTTGCCTCTCCTCCCATAGATATGGAAGGGTAAAACTGACAGGGGTTAATATGTAACAGGGAAGTCACCCCTCCTCCCATAGATATGGAAGGGAAACATTGACAGTGGGGAATATGTAACATAGGGAATGGCTTGCAAAAAGGGCAAAAATATTTTCTGTCTCTCCCCCTACTCCTTTATGAGAACTAAAACCTGCATCCCTGTCTCAGGCCAGTGGTTGGGAAGGGCAGGGTAACATCTTTTATTCTTTGTGCTACAGGAGATGGCTCAGCCCCAAAGAGAGGTCCTGGGTGAAGGTTAAGGAATCGTCTTCAGTTGAACAGCAATTGCTTGAAGCTGAGAACCCACCCTTTAAAAACTCTGTATTTCTGCTTATTATTGGGAGGATGGCATTATAGACAGGAATTTCCATTCTCCTCCTTTGCCAGCAAAGTAATAAAGTCCTCTTTCCTTTGCCTCAAAAAAAAAAAAAAAAAACAAAACGCGAAGTATGTGTTAGCTCAGGGTCCCTTCACTGCAGAGCAAAGCCCGATACTGCAGGGTATAATAGCAAAGACAGGCTCCTTCTCCTGTCATTGTGAGGTCCTGGGCCAAGAAAGGCTCCTCCTAGGTAGCTTTATCTGGAAGGAGGTCTCCTTGGGCTCTTCTCTGATCAAAGCCTCATTCCAAACTCTTGTGCATTTCTCTCCTTTTCAACATCCAATCTCCCCACGATGCCCTCAGATCCTTCCTGTGTCTTCTGCAGGCCTGTCCATGGTAACAAATGCTCACTACCTCGGCTCTATTTCAGTCCCTCCATGGATTCTCCACTGCATTGGATAAAATTCGTACTCCTACCACAACCCTCAAGGCTCTTCATGCTCTGGTCCTGGCTACTTGCTCCAATTCTCCCAACACGCATACTGAGTTGCAAATATTTAATGCATGTGGTTCCCGATCACACACCACGATTCCTCCTGCTTCTAACCTTGCATGTGCAGTTCCTTCTGTGATCAACCTTCCTTCACTTAGATTAACTTTCAGGATTAGATCCACTTGTAACTCTTCCAGGAAGCTTTCCTAAACCTTCTGGGTGGAACAGGTACTCCTTACTATGTGCACATATAGCATTTTAGGTCTTACACCTATCACTCTGTGTTTGTAACTACTGGTGTATCTGTCTGTTGAATCAAACAAGTTGCAGTTCTACAGAGGAGGTACTGTGGATGGTTCATTTGTGGCCGAGCTCTGAGCCTAGAATCTAACATGAATAGACATTCAGGTTTTTTTTTTTTTTTGAGACAGAGTCTCATTTGTTACCAGGCTAGAGTGAGTGCCATGGAGTCAGCCTAGCTTACAGCAACCTCAAACTCCTGGGCTCAAGCGATCCTCCTGCCTCAGCCTCCCAAGTAGCTGGGACTACAGGCATGCACCACCATGCCCAGCTAATTTTTTGTATATATACTTTTAGTTGGTCAATTAATTTCTTTCTATTTTTAGTAGAGACGGGGTCTCGCTCTTGCTCAGGCTGGTTTGGAACTCTTGACCTTGAGCAATCCACCCGCCTCGGCCTCCCAGAGTGCTAGGATTACAGGCGTGAGCCACCGCGCCTAGCCCATTCAGGGTTTTTTGAAATGTTAAAAACCCCTATATTCTATCAAAATGCTCATGATATGATAAGTCAAAAGAGTAGAATATTGAGGATAATTCCAATTATTTAAAATATGTATGTGTACAGAAAAAATAATGACAAGAAATGTACTAAATATTAACAGCGGGCATCTCTTACTGGTGAAATTAAGAATGCCTTATATTTTTGTTTTTATGCTTTATTATATTTTTCCAAATGATTACTATTAATGTATATGACTACTTCTATAAACAAAACAATAAACTTTTAAAAATCCCCTTTGCAAAGCATGTATCTGATAACAGATAATATACAGAATATATTATAAACTTGTATACCTCAACGATAAAAAGAGTTTATTTGATTTAAAAATGGGCAAAGGATCTGAATAGAAATCTCCCTAAAGAAGACATAGCAATGGCCAATAAGTACATGAAAAGAAGCTCAACATCCTAGTCATTAGTGAAATGCAAATCAAAACCACAATGAGATATTACTTTACACCCACTGGAATGGTGATGATCAAAAAGATGACAATGCCAATGTTCATAACAGTACTAGTCACAATAGCCAAAGGTACAAATAACACAAGTGTCCACAAACAGAAAAAAATGAATAAACAAAATTTGGTATAGCCATACAATGGAATATTATTCAGCCTTAAAAAAGAATTATTTTTTTTAAAGGAATGAAATTCTGACACATGATACAACATGGATGAACCTTGAAAACATTATGCTGAGTGAAGGAAGCCAGACACAAAAGGACAAATGCTGTTAAATTCTACTTACATGAGATACCTAGAACAGGCAAATTCATAGAGACAAAAAGAACAGAGGTTGCCAGGGGCTGGAGGAAGTGAAGTGTCAGGAGTTATTGTTTAATGAGTACAGAGTTTATGTTTGCAAAGATGAAAAAGTTCTGGAAATGAATACTGATGATTACTGTATAATGTGAATATATTATACTTAATGCCAATGAATTGTGCACTTAAAAATAGTTAAAATGGCAAATTTAATACGTATATTTTAACACAATAAAAAATGTTAAATCCTTTGATATTTGATTTTTGACCAGGCAAATGAATTCCCAGGGGAAAGAATCTACTCTCCCACCTCCCTGTAGCTAGGTATGGCCATGGGACTAAATTTTGGCCAATAATGCTAGAGCATCATGTGTAAATTTCATGAAGTCTTTGAGAACATGATGGCTAGAACACAAATACCCATCTTGTCCACACTTAGCCTGTGTTTAGCCCATCTGTAAGTACAGCAGATAGGATTATTTTTAGTCTTCGTTTTTCAAAATGAGAACAATGAAGTTCGGGGAAATGCATTGCATAGTTAATCAATCATTTAATTCAAATTTCTAAAAATATACCTATCTTAGAGCATGAGGTGGATGCCATGTTCAGAGGATATGGGAGGAGCAAGAGCTAAGCAGCCTGGTGCTCTGATGCGTTCACTCTACCATGTCACCCTATCTTGCAGATTTTCTACCTTTAACCTTTTGATATACTTGAGAAAAACATTTTTTTCCTCCAGCTGTTATAGTCCATTCTCCACTCTGCAACCAGAGTGATCCTTTTAAAATTTAAGTGAGATTATGTCTCCTCTCTGGTTGGAACTCAAAATGTTTTCTAATTTCGCCTAGAGTAAAAGACATAAAATCTTCATGTCCTTCAGTCCTTCAAAGCTCTACATGATTTGGCCTCACCTAATAACTTTCTCCCTTTTCCACCATGTTGCAACCCCACTGGTTCCCCTTTCTATTCCTTAAACAAGAGCAAGCATGCTCCTGCCTCAGGGACTTTGCATTCGCTATTCCTGCTCTTGAAATAATATCCCTTCAAATAACCCTATGGGGCTAACTCTCTTACTTAATTTACATCTCTGCTAAATTTTTTAAAAAGTTGTTAAGTGTACTCTGTGACTACTCTAAATAAAATCACATCACACATGTCAGTCACTCTGTCCTATTAAATTTCCTCTTCTGCCTTATTTTAACTTAGCAGTCCACTTACATGCATTTATTTATTTTCTTTCTTCTATTATTAAATTGTAAGCACTGTGAAGGCATGAGATCTGTGTATAATTTTTCACCATACCCCCAGTCCTTAGAACAGTAAGTAGAACAAAGAAATTAATACATAAATATTTGTTGAATATATGAATAAAAGATCTTTATAAAGTTCACTCTAGTTCAGTATAGATTATAGATTGTTATAAAAGCAAGAATAAAAACTGATGTTTTCCCATAAGCTGTGACTTAATTTTTCAACTTTATGATGGATTTGTTGGGAGGTAGCCCCATTGTGAGTTGAGGAGCATGTGTAGAGAACAGCAGTGTCTTGGAGACCAGACAGAATCCTTAAATGTTAGGCTTGCTTGTGAAAGCTCCTAAGGCATCAGAGGATAGTGATCCAGATCAAATGCAAGACTATGTAAGTATCTTCTGTCCTGTCTACTCCTTTAGAAAGTCTTCATTCATTCATTCATTCAACAAATACAAACTGAGCTCAAGGCAGTGGAGTACAATGGTGAGCAAACAGACACAGAGCCTATATACAACTTTTTAAGGGAAAACCACACAGGTGAGAAATCACTGCATCCTGTGATTCATGATTTCATCGTGTTTCAGTTCTTCTCAATTTCTATGGAAACCATACACTGACTTGATTTAAAAGGTTTATGTGAAAATACAATGAGGTCAATTTTGATAAAGTGAATTTCTAGGATGTGGAAAAATTGGACCTTTGACACATTGCTGGTGGGAATGTAAAATAGTGTAGTCACTCTGGAAAATAGTCTGGCAGATCCTCAAAAGTTAAACATAGAGTTATAATCCAACTCATCAATTCCGCTCCTAGGTACATACCAAAGACAAATGAAAACATATGTCCACGTAAAAACTTGCATATAAATGTTCATAGCACCATTATTCACGATAGACAAAAATTGGAAACAACTCAAATTTTCATCAACTAGTAAATGGATAAACAAAATATGGTATATCCACACAATGGAATGTTATTCAGCCACAATAAGAATCCTCATGCTATAACATGGATGAATATTGAAAACAGTATGCTGTATAAAAAAAATCAGTCACAAAAGGCCACATATTATATGATTGCATCTATATAAAATGTCAAGAATAGGCAAATCCACAGAGACAAAAAGCAGAATAGGGGTTGCCAGGGGCTGGGCGAAAGGAGAAACGGGGGTGACAGCTAATGGGTAGAGATTTTCCTATTGGGGTGATGAAATGTTTTGGAATTGAAGATGTTTTAGAACTCTGTGGATATACTAAAAAAAACTCCCAAACTGTTTACTTTCAAAGGATGAATTTTATGGTAAGTAATATCTCACTTTTTAAAAATCCTCATGGTTCCACTTTGCTGCACCAACTATCCAATACAAATAAGACAGTCCAACAGACCCAACAAAAAGCACCTTGTAGGAAGATATCTTTGCATGTTATAACACTATCCTCAAAGCTAACATAAATAATACTTAATACTGACCAGCTGCTCTACCTTACACTCATCACTTTACTTAATCTTAACCACAATTGTGAGGTAAGTATAATTCTTATCCCTATTTTACAAATGAGGAAAGAGACTAAGTAACTTGCTCAAAGTTAGTCACATAGCTAGGAGTGTAAGAGCCAGGCACTGAACCTCAGGTCTAACTCTAGTGATCAAGTTTTTAGTCATCTAAAAGGGTAAAGATATATATTGTTTTCCATTGTACAGAAATATTATTTTTAATTAATTATTTATTTTTATTTCAATAGATTTGGGCAGTACAAGTGTTTGTTATTACATGAATGAATTATAGATATATTCTGAACCATTATATGGTCCTTATAACATGCTGATCATCTTAAATATGTTTTAAAAATCCTGTGTCTTAGTCCTCTGGGTTTCTTACACTTGCTGAGTCAAGGAAAACATGACAGAGAGCTTGTGTCATTAAGGAGCACAGTTACACTATGCATTAACCATATCATATTAGGAGACTGGAGACTTTCACCTAGCAAGGGACAGTATTTTTACTATTTTACTTTCAATTGTTTTATATGTCTCAACACATAGTTTCACTATCTTTTAATTAGTCTCAAACTTACTGTCAGAGTCAAGTCCAGTTTTTTTTTTTTTTTTTTTTTTTTTTTTTTTGAGACAGAGTCTCGCTTTCTTGCCTAGGCTAGAGTGAGTGCCATGGCGTCAGCCTAGCTCACAGCAACCTCAAACTCCTGGGCTCAAGCAATCCTCCTCCCTCAGCCTCCCGAGTAGCTGGGACTACAGGCACGAGCCACCATGCCCGGCTGATTTTTATATTATATATATTAGTTAGCCAATTAGTTCCCTTCTATTTTTATGGTAGAGACGGGGTCTCGCTCAGGCTGGTTTTGAACTCCTGACCTTGAGCAATCCGCCCGCCTCGGCCTCCCAGAGTGCTAGGATTACAGGCGTGAGCCACCGCGCCCGGCCTCAAGTCCAGTTTTAAATAAGTGCCATGCATTTTGACTAAGACCTAGTTAGCCACAGACTTGACTTAAAAAGCTAGTCAAATATAGTATCTTATTAATTTGATACTAAGAATTATCGAAAAACAATTAGCACTGATCCTTCCTATTCATACATTCCCACATTCTGGGAGATCATAATAGTGTAAGGATTCTTGGGTGAACTAGACATTGTGTCTCATTCAATTGTATCTCTAATCATATGGGGTCCCAGAATTGCCATGAGTTCTACGTAGCTTTCTGAACTAGAGATAAACTGGGGCCAATCTAGACTTCTCAGAGCCCCTAAAAAGAGGTACAATGTTAGGAAGGAAAAATATGGATCTACTGATGATCTATTTGCCATATATGACATAACTACAGTAGTTCACATGTGCCAGCTCATTTAATATATATACTGTCCTACATCATAAATTTGTTTTATCATTTTATAGATGGAGAGACTCCAGAGACTAAACAAATTTGTCCAAGACCAGACAGCTTGGAAAGTGGCAGAGGTGAGAATCAAACTTAGGTTTCCTCTGCACTGACTACTGCACCTGCCTCCATTTCGTGGACAGATATCCACGAAAAGTCCCAAAAGAGAACTGTACTGACTTCAGGAAATTTTGTACTAGTCAAAGAATACCCCAGAGCCTAAAGGGAAGAATGTATCAGAGTTTCAATCAGCTTGAACCAAATAGTCCATAAATTTGCTGTTCCTGCCTCCTAATATTCGAAAAGTTGTTATACTCCTTTCTAGAGTTAAGAAAACCTCAAATACTCACCAACCCCACGATTTTTGTTGTTTAAATCAAACCATATATAAAGATCACCGGACAATTTTGAAACATTTTAACAGACCTCACTTAAACATATAAAATGGATTTGAAGGATCAAATTCCTATACTAAAATGAAAATTATCATCACACAAAAAATTGAAAAATATGCTGAAACCGAAAGCTCCCTGATAACAGGATTTTTTCATCCACTGATTACCTCTCTGCAGCACTAGCTATGTGAAAAATGTGCTCATCTTCATTCTGTAACCGTTCTTTTCTCCTTCTTTCAATGTCATGTCGTAGGTCATTTGGATCTATTATTTTGACCAGAGTCTGAGGAATTTTGACAGAAGACAAACCATTCACATTACTGTTAGTTGCACAAAGACCATATCTAACAAGAACCTTAATTAAAAGTCTTAAATATGTTATCTTGTACTCATCCTGCTAAACAGCAGTGTAAACTGATAAAACTGATACAAATATTCTGAGACATAATTGACAATACACAGTCAGAAAAGTTCCTGAAATTGAACCAGGAATCCCACCTCTGGGATTCTATCTCAAAGAAAAGGTTATCTATCTACATATATTCAAAATATTATATTTAAAACAACAAAAAATGGGAGTAACTTAAATGTCGAAAAGAATTTTAAGGGGAAGGGAAGAATGATTAAATAAATTATAGTAAACTTAACTCAAAGAATAATGTACAACCATTTAAATTATGGTAATAAAGACTGTGGAAGTCAACATGGAAAAAACATTTGTTGAAAAGAGTTAATTAAAATTTTAAAAGCCTCAGTCAAAAGGTCATGGGGAATTCAGTGATTTTTACATAAATGGAATGTTATTATGGATTAAATAAAAGGAGAAAAGCATACAAAATTACATCTACTGTTATAGTGATTATATTAAAACACAAGATGTAAGACTGCAAGAAAAGATGGTCAAATAATATCTTGTGTTAAATGGTTGAATTATAGGAGATTTTTTCTAAATTCTCATATTTCCTATAAGTTGATTACAGTACTTTGATGATTAGAAATGTTCTGTAAATATCATCTATTCAATAAATTAACCAATCTCCACAAATTCAATACAAATTGTAATCATTCCACAAGTAAAAAATTATTTATATATTCTATCAGAAATGTATTAAAATATCTCCTCTACAAAAACTCTTTATTCTCAATGAATAAATTAGCACTTCTTTTAGAACTTGATATAATTCTTCTAAAACAAGAGCCAGTTTTCTTCCTGCCCCCCACCCCAAGTTGAGACAGTCTTTCTAATTAGCAGAGAAATGGCAGGTGGGAGGGGAGGTGTTGGGTGGGAACTACACACAACAGGCGACAATAAAGAAATTTAGTATTATTTCCCTTATTTTGCTAGTTCAAATTCCACAGAATCTTATGTACATTCTACAGTAAACAGAAGGGCAATATCAAATGAAATTTAGCTCATTTGCATTCATTCCATGTATAATTTAAAAATATATTCCACATGACTGCTTTGAAAAAATAGGTATTGAACATACTTTCTGTAAGCTTTACAGTGTGGAGTTTTGGAATGAATAATTAAACAAAGCTGTTATCCTTAGGGATTGTCCCTCTTAGGGAATATTTTTATCTTTTGTCAGTATTCTTACTCCAATGTGGCCGATAATCAGAATCACTTGGAGAGCTTTTTAAATCCTTTTTAAATCTCAATCCTTCTGCTTCATGTGCTTTTACTCCCTTTTTCACTCCTTACCTATCCCCTTTCCCATTAATATACCAACAATAAGATAATCTCTCATCAATAATTGTATTCACTTACCTTTTCTGATTCATGTAACACAGTTTGTTTACTGTGAAGCTCAGCCAAAGACATATCTATTCTCCTAAAATAATAAAGACATATTACAATGAAATAATTACGTTATACACTGATACCTTGATTCTATTACTACAGAATGGAGTTTGAAATAAAGCTGGTATGTCTTGGATAAAGCAAAAGAAACTTGCTAGGTAGTTTTTCATTTATATGGCAATCTCCGAGGAAATATATATCCTATGAACAACATTACAGGGAAGCTTTAGGGGGCTCTCAAATCACTAGTATGTGTAACCTCGAACTTTACTCTGGTGATATATTGCACTCTATATTGATTCAACACAACCCACAAGACAGGGTGCACCACCTGCTCAGACAAGTGTCAGCAGAAGACAACATGTGTTTTCATATGGCTGCCTTCTGAATAGCCATTTATGACCACATGAAACAACTCATGATTTCAATGGCTTGACAACTCTTTCATTCTTCCAGTGATAACTTCAGTAAGGCAATTACTATAGACAGTAGAATCAAAGTTAGGTAGGTTAAGTATTTTCAAAGTCCTACACATTTAAACAATGTTAGTCAATGGCTTCAGTGCAACCTTATTCTATCAAAGTGCACTTGCCCAGTACCTGCTTGGGTTAGTCCCATGTTTATGTCAGAAATGCAATTCTAGAGTCTATGGCAAGCCTAAGGGAGCAGGCTAAGGAAACAAGCACCTTCCCAAGTCTGTTCTGAGGTTTATTCTCATGAGTTAAATGGGAACACAGTAATCAATCATTACCTGTGAATTTCTGGATCTGAATTCAATTTAATTTCATTCACATTTGCATTGTGTATATCTTGCATTTTTGAGAAACGCTCATGTAGAGTAATGCCAGGTGATGGAAAATAATTTGCTGAAAAAGGAAACAAATAATTTTACCTCAATGTAAAACTGATTCCACTTAAAAGATTATATATAAGCACAGGAAGAAAGGACTCTTTAAAAACATCCAACCTGTTTTCTCTTGAAAATATAGGGGCTGGGGGACCTAAACTTATTTTGCAGATTAATTTGTAGTGCTCACGTGCTTTCCCAAGCCTGAGCAAGAGTAAAAACACCTGATTTATGAATCCAAGGAATTTCTTCCTATCTGACATGCCTGCTTACTTGTCTTGGGGAAAAGACAGCCTCTCTCAAAATGATGACCTTTCTTCTCCAAGGTAAGACCTTACTACATCTGGGAGGTAAAGATGGCACAGAACTCTATAGTTGAATGAGAATAAAAATTAACTCCAAAACAAGCCTAAAACATCAAAACAATTCTGAACAAATGCCAAATGTTCTATTTACATATCACAGAAGACTTTGAATGCCACTTTACTTTGATTAACATTAAGTGAAGTTCATCAAAACATCCCCAAATCAGCTATGCTATAGGCTTTTAATAGGATAGAAAGAGAATACACTTGACCCATCAGAATGCTACTTAAGCAATCTTTTCCCCTAATTTACTGTTTCTGTTCTGAGACAATCTGGATTTTCTGCAATACCAGCTCCATTTCTGCCAAAAATCACACTCCTGTGGGTGAGAGAGGCTAGAGCTGAGAGTGTGATCTGTTTCAGATAAACTGCATGCTTTAAAGTAAATATATGCCTCCGTTTGAGGGATACAGAGAAAATAATTCATTCTTAAAATATGTTTTATGAAGGTAAGAAAGATTAATGTAATTATCTAGTAAGAAGTATAAAATAATTTTGAAATTATTGAAGGCCTCCAGTTTATAATACCCACAATTGCCTTATTTATGTAGCCTCACTGGGAAAAGTTCTACATCACTGAAGTTTCCAATTAATGGAAATTTGCCAGAAGCAAAAGCAAAACAAAACAATTTAAAGCATATCTTTAAAGTATTTATTATACAACTCCCAGTCATGAAGAATGCCAAAGCAAACTGGACTCTTTCATCGATCATGATCATTCAGCATAATCCGTAAAGCACAAAGTCCCAGTAATACCCTCAGGGGGCTTTAAGACTCTCAGAAAATCATCCAGGTTTCTGGATTTCTTGAGTTTCCTATCGGTTTTTTGTTGCTTCTTCCTCCCAGTTAGGCTATCAGTTATTGTCTGTTGCCACTCTCCCTTTCTAACTTGTGATTTCTAATCTGCTAACAGTTGAACCACAAGGTTATTAGAACTACATATAAAGAAAAATTAGGCTTCAATAAATGCCTGATACTCTCCAAAAGACTTCCTAATTCATGATCTAACTTACAATGAAATACTAATTACTATTAAACTATATTGTTTACCTGTATCTCATAAAAAGTCAATATATTATTTTTGTGTTATCCCTAATGCATGTGCAAAATATACCAACCTTTAACTTGATGGATTATTGTTATGATTTCCTGAGCAAATTCTCTTGTAGGTTTGTTTTCAGTATTCTGAGTTGAGTCAAGATGTTCAAACACTGGATGAAAGTTCTCACTTTTCCTGCCAACAGCAACCAAATCATGTGACATCTGTCTCTCTGTGGAATAGCTAGAAGCAACCCTAGAATAATTTGCAAATGTTTAACTAAATTTGAAACTATTTTGCTGAGAAAATAACTTATTAAAAATTAAAATAGCTATAAAACTAAAAAGATATTTATCTTTTCTTATAATTAAGGCACTAAATTATATGCCATAAAACACGTACAATAACAGGTAGCAGAAATTAGCTACAGATATAGGCTCTGAATTCTTTAAATCAGAGGTCATTAAATATTTGCCACTTTAATAACAAAATCCTCAAAATTCTAAGTGAGACAATTTTTCTTCAAAAAAATACAAGGAGTTAAAGACACTTACTGTGCAAAAAGTAATAAATTATTCTCTACTCCCAAATGGCCAAAAACATTGTAAATTCAGTAAGATTATACTATCTTGAAATACTACCATACTTTAAAAGCTGATATCAAATATAAGAACCTCTCTGACTTCATAAAAATCCTTATATCTCTATATCAGTAGTTAAAAGCTTAGAATAGTATTTTTAATACTATTAATACTTTGATTTAATACTTTGATTTAATAATTAAATCAAATTCTGTTAAGAGATTAATTTAATTACAAAGTCTCACTAAATTCTTAGAAAACAGTCTTAGTTGTTAGCAAAGTTATAATCGTTAACACCAATTAGTGTTCACCCTCAATGTACCCTTAAAGAAATTCTACCGTTTATTATATAACCCCAGCTATCTTACCACTTTAATGCCTTTTGAATCTTTATAACATTCATTAAGAACTCTCCTGACCTCTAAGTACATTTATAAAGTGATGATTATGATAGATAGCTAACACTTATTGAAGCCTTAGCACATGCCAAACATGAGAGTCCAGAGCTTACCAACATTATCTCATTTAATCTTTATAATAGCCTTATAGGGAAGGCACTTATGACACCGAGACAATGAATGTCTTGGTTGTTTTGCTTTACATCTCAGAGATTGAGCATTCAGATAAACATCAGTCTTCCAAGTGTCATAAAGGAAAACTATACCATATTCCCAGAATGCTGCTCTTGCTTAAAACTACTCTTAAATTCTTCAACTGGAGGCACTTTATGTACCACTATTAAAAATGTCTCATTATTTTATATATTTATATCTCATTTTGGACTCAAAGTGGCATTAATCAGCTTGCACTCATCTTATTCCTCTGTACTTAACACTAAATTGCTTTTGGCTTTTTTCAAAAATCAAGTTCATTGTCCAAAGAATTGAGATTTACAGCTGCTGTGGTTCTTCATGAGTATGTTACAGGCTCTGAAGATAAACCCAAAAGAGAGCCCTGAAGTATGTTTTAAATAATAGCAGCACAAACGAAATAAATAATATCTCCTCAGATAACAAAAAGCAATCAGATGGATACGTTTTGGGGTATGGGTGCATGCATGTATATATTTACTTATTTATTTAAATCACTTAATAGCCATATATCTAAAACTGCTCCAGGGTTATAAGCAGCTTACAGATATTCTTTAACTAAAAATTTAAACTCCTCCAACAAAATGGTTTTGAGTGCCTATGCATAACTTATCAGAGGAAAGCCTTCCATCTGACTTTCCATGCTCCCTGCTCTCAGACCAGCACTGTCAGTGACAATTCCCAATTCCCTGCCACGGCAGAAACACAGAAAAGTGATTATGCAGCAAGTTGATGCCACCGCTGTGGGTTTCCTAGATTCATTAGAACTACTTTCATTAGAAGGCCCATTTCCCTTCTTTCTTCCTAATTTGCTCCAAGCTTCCCCACTGTGTATCTGATAACTAGCTAAGAGACATTTACTGGTAAACACTAGAACACCCTGTAACAACTTCCACTAACAAAGAATTACAAATACTCTCTGTTTGAAGGGGTTTAATGTTACAATAAGCCTGTTCCATACCAAAAAGAGAGCTTTTAGAAAACATTTTATATGAGAAAAATAAGATATTTAAACAGAACTATAAAAATGGTTCATCCACAGGGGAAATCAGTTGATAAGGTTTTTTTTTTTTTTTTTTTTTTTTTGCAGCCTCAGTTTCTTCCAAGAGGAAATCAGCTGATAAAGATTTCCAATTTTTCAGTGGGTAATTATTAACATTTACTTGTAATTTCTTACAAATTAATTACTGGCATAACTCTTGTCCCCACTCCATGCCACAGTAGTGCTGTGGTATACTTTGAAGCTATATTTAATTTCTGAAATTTCAGTGTTTAAACTTATTATCAGTTATTAATAAAATTTATCCTAGAGTTCTTCCACTACAGGGTTTTTAATAAAAAATATTTAAATTATCATTTTCTAGAAAATATACATTAAAATAGCATGAGCCAATAACTTTAATCTTTTAAAAATAATTATGACACTTCTGCTATAAAAGAAAAACCCTCTTTAGACTGGAGAATGCAGACTGTTCTAAGTATTTACATTTGTAAATTTAATCATCTTTTGGTTCATTTTCCTTTTTACTATTTCCTATGACATGCATTGATTAACAAGTTAATAATTTCAGGAAATATCCCCCAAACAAGTAATTAACCTAAAAAGAGCAAATGTTCTCATTTGAGATACATTTTAGACACTTTTAAAAATTAAAATACAGCCAAAAACCTGTACTCTAATACTATTTCATGCGACTGGTCTCATTAAATCTTCCAAGTTCCTTTGTTACCTGTCCCCACTCTCCTCCTATTTCTCTGTTTAAGAATACCCACTGATGTTCTCCCCGAGTGTTGTGCATAATAACTAAGAAAACATAAAAAGCTACATTAAACCTTAATTTCCTGTTGTACACACTTAGGACTCATCATAAAAACCAACTGCATGGTAAAACAACAATAACGAGAAACCAACAATCTAAACCAACAGATTCCGCTGCCCTCTGGAAGCTTATAGTATATAACAAAATCCATATGACACATATAGTTTTCCCTTTTGTTTTCTTCTAACAACTAACATTTTGTACAGCACCCTACCATTCCTAATGCACTTTTCCAATTACAGTCACGCACAGAATAACAATGTTTTTGGTCCATCACGGGCCATATATACAATGGTGGTTTCATATAATAGCATATTTTTACTATACTTTTTTTATGTTTTGCTATGTTTAGATACACAAATAGTTACCATTGTGTTCTGACTGCCTACAGTACTCAGTACAGTAACATGCCCTACAAGTTTGCAGCCTAGGAGCAAGAGGCTATAGCATATAGCCTAGGGGTGTAGTAGGCTTAACCACCTAGGTTTTTATTTTTGTTTGTTTGTTTGTTTTTATTTTTTTTTGAGACAGAGTCTCACTTTGTTGCCCAGGCTAGAGTGAGTGCCGTGGCGTCAGCCAGGCTCACAGCAACCTCAAACTCCTGGGCTCAAGCGATCCTCCTGCCTCAGCCTCCCGAGTAGCTGGGACTACAGGCATGCGCCACCATGCCCGGCTAATTTTTTCTATATATATTAGTTGGCCAATTAATTTCTTTCTATTTTTAGTAGAGACGGGGTCTCGCTCTTGCTCAGGCTGGTTTCGAACTCCTGACCTTGAGCAATCCGCCCGCCTCGGCCTCCCAGAGTGCTAGGATTACAGGCGTGAGCCACCGCACCCGGCTAGGCTTAACCACCTAGGTTTGTGTAAGGACACTCTATGCTGTTCACACGATGACAATATCACCTAATGACATATTTCTCAGAACATGTCCCCATCATTAAGTGGCGCATAACTGTATAGTATTTGCTCCTGTTTTTCTAGGAACACACTTAGAAATTCTGGAGTTGAGGGAAAAGGGTCTGGGAGACTACCACTCCCCTGATTCAGCTTCTTATTACTTTTTCACAAAAGTCCTCTAATGGACCTGATGGGCATAGACAGCTCCTCTCTGTATCTCTTCAGTGAGAAATAAAGGATTAGATACAAATGTGGCCAATGTACTCAGCCCACCATCAACTCTGACAGCTGACCGTCCCCACATCCCAGGTGTCTAGTATCAGCATCCCAGAAGATCAAAGGAGCCTCAGGCCCATCAGCAGCAGCTCACACCAGAAACTAGTACTGCCTCCTCCCTCCTTCTTCCTCCCTCATCCACTTACTTCCTGGCCTGGCCAAGCTTTAGCCCCTCACCTTACTCAGCCCAACATTAAACTAACACCTCCATTCATCTGCCCCAGTACTTTCAGATGTATACAACAGTTTGTGTTTTGGGTACGTAACAACCTTAGTAGAAATTTTCATACTGTGATTCCCTAACTTACATTCTGAAACATATAATTATAATTCACGTGTAACTTCTGATAATGAAGTTTCTGTAAGAGTGGATCACTAGAATACAGTCTTTGTTAACAAAACATGTTAACTACACAGTGAACATTCAAGCAAGTGTCTACTTACTACAGTTCTAGGTACAAACTGGAATCTAGAAAAGTCACCAGGCAATAACCTTGTGTTTTCAACCATACTGATAACTGGAAGAACAAACAGCAATACTTGACCACAGTTAAGTAAACAAATGCTCAAAATTAATCATCTTAGTCTTTCCAAAAAAAGTGGAGAAACTCTTTAGGTTTTAACCAGCAAATAAAACTCTCTTTGCACTCATGACTATCTGAATCTTTTCTAGCAGAGAAAAACCTAGTTTATGCTACCAGTTGAAAACATAATTCTATGGAGGACATTAACAACTTTTGTTTTATGGATACTTTATCAGTCCACACATAATTCAACCCACCAAGCTCTTCCGTAACTCATTCATCAATAAAGATTTTATTGACTATGATGTTTTATCATACTGAAAAGATGAACATATTTGTTCAGCTATTTATTCCTCAGGTCTCTGAATAGAGAGGATTTGCAGTGGAGGTTCATTTATTATACAAGCCATCCTACAGGCCCCGGTCAGGTATTCAAACATATACTGCCAGACCCACTGACAGGTCATGAGATTTCACAAAATTACAGTTTATAAGTTCAAAACAAAAGATGCAGCAGCTCCAATTTTAAGCAGCTCATTTTTGTGACACATGATGAAGATCAAGCTTCCATTTTTCATATCAAATTATAAAATTAACTGTTCAGTATCTCTAAAGAGGTCTATTAAAACCCTTCAAAATTGCAATTTCTAGCATTCTTTAAAGGTACTACAATTTATTAATTTTCTTTTAAGTATAAAACACATCAGCCAGGCATGGTGGCTCACGCCTGTAATCCTAGTACTCTGGGAGGCCAAGGCGGGAGGATAGCTTGAGCTCAGGATTTCGAGACCAGCCTAAGCAAGAATGAGATCCCATCTCTACTAAACATAGAAAAAATTAGCCAGGTATGATAGCTCATGCCTGTAGTCTCAGCTACTCAGGAGGCTGAGGCAGGAGGATCGCTTGAGCCCAGAAGTTGGAGGTTGCAGTGAGCTATGATGATGTCACTGCACTCTACCTGGCGTGACAGAGTGAGACTCTGTCTCAAAAAAAAAAAAAAAAAAAAGTTTAACATCTAGGTTGGGTACAGTGGCTTAGCACTTCAGGAGATCAAGCCACTTTGGGGGCTGCTTGAGGCCTGGAGTTTGCAACCAGCCTGGGCAACATAGCAAGACCCCGTCTCTACAAAAAAAATTAAAAATTAGCTGGGCATGGTGGCACATGCCTGTAGTCCCAGCTACTCGAGAGGCTAAGTCAGGAGGATCGCTTGAGCCCAGAAATTAGAGGTTATAATGAGTTTTGATCGTGCCACTGCACTCTAGTCTGGGTGACAGAGCAAGACCCTGTCTCTTAAAAATAAGATTTTGGTACACTTGATTGTATGTAATATTACCTCAAAAGAAAAAAGAGGAACTATAAGCAAATTAAGTACTAAAGTATTCAAAAGGGAGTATATAGATGTTTGCAATATACTTTGAAATATATAAAAAAAATAAGATAGAAGGATAGATGAATAGACAGACATGGGACTATGAAAGTAAATTCTTAAATAAAGATTCTAGGTGATGGGTATATAGGTGTTCACTGTACAGTTCTTTCAACTTTTCTGTATGTTTGAACATTTTCATAATATATAGGAAAGAAAAAAAGTTTAAAGTAACATTCTTAAACTTGATGCTTATAGCAGCCTGTGTGCTCTTAAGAACTAATAGGTTAACTAAGAGCACAAAATTATTTAAGGCATATAAAAAAATACAAAATTATTAATATGCTATTATGGCAGCCATGTATAATATACATGTATATAGAAAAGTGTATATGTATGTACATAATATACATATACATAGGAAAATAACAAAAGGAATTATACTAAATGTGGTAGTAGGATTATGGATGGTTTTTCTCCTTTATTTCTCCAACTTTCTGTAATATAATCATACTTATAAATGCTTTCTGTTCCCATATAAATATATATATGTATATTTAAAAATATTTTCAGCAAGTGTGATGAATATAAAGAAAATATGAGGCAGGGGGACTGCCATGTCTAAATTTAAGAAAAGGAACAAAAAACTATTTTGTTTTTTTACAAAAAAGACTTGTGGGTTTACTTCCCTCTCCCTCTCCCATCCCACCCTTTGGGTTTTGTTTTCTCTGGTTTTTAATTCAAATACAAATATGAGTGGACAAATATAAATGCAACAAATCAACATGGTCCATCACTTTTTCATTCACATGCTGGTGGTGTATTAAGTTAATGAACAGATTTAGCTGACACAGCCAACTGCAGTGCCTTAATGTCAGGATCCAGAAACAGAGGTAATATTCATAATGGAGCAAAGCACGTGAGCCTGCTATAAGAAAATATAATCTATTACAGTAGTAGTCTATTTTTTTAAAGAATCAGAGCTAAAGCAAATGTCTTATAAATAGGCATCTTCCCAGATTATAGTCTAATTTCCTCTACCTGGAAGAATCTAGTCAGTTGAACCCCAGTCATTTTGAGACGGCAGCAAAAACCACATTAAGTCACCCACCTCTTGAGTTGCAAGGGGACACGTGGATTTGAGCCCCAGCCACTCTGACTTAGATAAGTCACTTCATCTCTCAGGGCCTCACTTTCCTCCTCTATAAAATCAGGGCCTGCTAAGGTCCCTTCCAGCTCAAAACTTCTCTGAATTTCAGGCAGCAGGGAACATAGGCTCTGAGAAACTGAGCAAGGACTAGGTCTTCTTGAACTCCACCCAGCCAATCCCTCGATAAGGAAAATCTGGCAGCACAAAAACAAGCGAACTCATGAAGAGGAAACAACTCCATGGAATGAATGCCCTGTACCCAAGGAGCATCTGGAGAGAGGATGTGGAAACAAGGAGACATGAATCACCCTTTATAACTAACCAATCACAAGAAACATCCTCATTACAGGGCTTTTGGGGAAAAATCTAGGCAATCCCTCTCCCTTAATGGACTCTAAACACACTATTAATTCCAGTTTTGAAGCTGCAAATAAAGATGGCAGAAACACTTATTAAATATAATAAAGAAAAAACAAAGGTAATACCTGAATGTATTTACTGCTTTCCTCATATCTACTTTAACCGTAAGTGATTTCTTCCTAAGATTGACAGACGAGGGTTTCACATCAGAAAGTTTTTGACTTTTATCCAGTTGGTTACTAGAAGAATTGCTCTCTTTTCTGCAATCCCCTGCTTTCTTTATTTTTTCCTTCCATTTGTCATTACAGGGCCTTAAATCAACATCATTTCTATTTGAACGAGTACAGGCAATGCAGTCTTTCTTAGATGGTTTCAAAGGTTCTTTGGATTGCCCATCTTGAGTCCCTCTCCCTCTTCCAACATTAAAACAATCTAACTCCTTGTTTACAGGGCCTTTTTGAGAACTGTATTTTCTGTCTTCTTCCTTAGAGTACTTCTGAGTTCTCCCATCAGAAAAGTCCTGGTCCCCATCTGAGGGCTTATGACGTTTGTGGCGATAGTCATAGGATACTTTGGTTGCTGAACTGGTCTCTGGGTGTTCCCTCTCAGCATGTCGATGAGTTTGAGGTCCAAGGTTCCGCTGGTCTTTCTTCTCTTGGTAAGGTAGAAGGGAATGCTCGGGCTTCCACTTTGGGTTCCTGGCAGGCTCTCTGTTTTCATACCTCTCCACGTCTTTAGGTCTTTTTGATGTGTGTCCATATTTTCCGAAATCACGATCCTCAGGATACCTGTGTTGACATAAAGCAGTTTATACTTGCACTAGAGAGAAGAAAGTGAGAATTTATATGTGTAGAATGTTGGGCAGCATGGCTTTAAATGCAGAATGCAGTAGCAAGTTAACCTATATAATCCCTCAAGCCAATTCATAGAGGAAAATACCAATTTTTTTATATTCTAGCTATCAACATGATTTACTCTAAAAAGAAATACTTCACTACTACCAGTAGACCACAACTAAATTACAATGCTTTTTATCTTTTTAGACAAAAGCTTTTCAAGGTGGTTATCTTCAACCATAAAGTAAACAGACTTTTTCACTTGAGGCTTTTTATACCATATTACCCAGGTTTAATGTTTTCCTATACCTCTTCTGAAAAGAGCTCCTTGTTTCAAAGTCTTCAGAGCCTCTTCTAGGTGACTGGGAATATTTTTCTTCTTGTAGCCTCTGGTGCCTCAACTCATCTTCATGCCACTTTCCTTCAAATCTAAAAGAATCTGCTATTGCCCTCTGAGGTGGTTTCCCTCCTTTTCCACTTCCTCTAACTCTATGGTCATCAGGAATATACCTTCCTTGCACTTTCTGGGGATAACAATTCCTCTCATGCTCTTTGTATGGTACACTTTCTGAGTATTTGGGCATATACTGAGATCTTCTGTTACCATCCCCTCTTTCAGGCGAATATCCTCGGTGAGGCTTATACATATAAAAATTGTCTACTGAGTTTCTTCTTATGTTTGGGGAAGGTGATCTATTTTCATAAGATCGGTAATACATATTTCCATGAGTGGGAATCCTTGGTTTACTCTGTCCATGTTTCTCACTGTCCATTCTCCAAGTGACAGGTCTTTTGGGATCCTTCCTATATTCACAGCCATAATGCCCATGAGCATGCTTTTGCTTGTAGTATTCAGGATTTCTAGGTACTGGTGATAAAGACCTATGTAGCAAACAAAGAAAAGTTTAATCCATTTAAAAACAATAAACTAAGACTGTCTTAATATGACCTACCTAAAACACTTGCTTTTCCTAGAGTTCTACTGCTTGTTTTACTCAAACTAAATTCATCAAGTTGCTATATATGCATTTTAAATTGTACATTGCAGGATCTGATTATGGTAATGCCCAGTTCAACAAGCATATTCTTTCCATCTGAACTAATGCATCCCCTGCACTAACATATTCCCTGAGCTTATCAAAATGAGCTGAACACACCTGTCCTATTGGAAGAAGACCAGCTTAGGTATACAGCAGGATCCATTTTGGAAGATTGCTGACAGCAAAGTTCTGGCAAAAGGGGATGCAGTGACTTAGAAAGGGCAGTCAGCAAAAGCTTACATCAGGTTCAATGGGCAGATAAGAAACAATCAGGGAAGTTAGATTCACACAAATAAATGTTAAGGAGAACGTTTGGAAAACTGAACATGACTTCTGAAAATAAACTAGATTCTAAGATTTAATGATGTTACAACCCAAACTCAGACCCAAGCCTGGCCCCAGAGTTTCTCTAATTGATTGTCTATTTTGTCTACTAAGGCTGTATGAAGGAGCAAAACATATATACTTAACCGGGAGAGAGAGGGGGAAGAAGAGGCTCTTAAGACTTGAATCTCAGCTAGGAACAGTGACCCACACCTGTAATCCCAGCACTTTGGGAGGCTGAGGTGGAAGTATTGCTTGAGGCCAGGAGTTCGAGACCAGCCTGAGCAAAATAGCAAGACTCCATCTCTATAAAAAATATAAAAATTAGCTGGGTATCGTTACACACACGTGTAGTCCCAGCTACTCAGGAGGCTGAGGAGGATCACTTGAGCCCAGGAATTTGAGGCTGCAGTGAGCCATAGCCCAGGCAACAGAGCAAGACCCTGTCTCAAAAAAAGAAAAACCAAAAAACAAAGACTTGAATCTCATGCTTAGTTCCTCCATAAATGCTTCTAACACAGATAAGTTGCTTTTCTTTCCCAGACCTGTTCTCTTACATATCAAATGAAAGATGTGCTGTTCAAACAGAGGAGAGGGTATGCTTTAATGCAACTATAATACTCTCCCAAAACACACATCTTTTCTGTACCTCAGCATTGCCGACATTGAGCCTTGTATTACCACTAAGGAGAAAGGCTCCTGTATCCAGGGAAACCAGTCTGGGTTGCCTGACTTAAAGACAAGAGAGAGGAGCAACACTATCTGGAACACAATAAAGTTCGATTTTGCACTTGGAGACCTGTCCCCGCATCTGACCTGCCCAATTTCCCAATCTCCTCCGGGAGGCTTTAGTGTCTTCTAATCAATGTAGAAGCTACCCATGTGACTTTTGCTATTGTTCCCTCTTAGAAGCTGCCACAGAGGTGTAGCAACCATGAGTGAATCCCTTTCCTTTCAATGTTAAGTCTGTGCCTCCCTGTAAGCAAGGAGGCAGATCTATCTTCCTCATGTGTCTACTGGGACTTATGTACTAGACTTGATGATATTGCCCTCTGGAGTCACCAAGCTAGACCACTGGCAAGGATTACCTAGCTGAAGCAGGAACTCTGCCACCCAGCTATCTACATGTCATCACAGGAGAAAGCAGCTGGAGCCTTTGAGGACTTCCTGGAAGATTTCATCTCTTTCACTGCTAAGGAGAAAAGCTGGCAACTAGAGGCAGAGGGCTTTCAGATTGGATGAAATATCCAATGTCTTACTTTAATCCTTACTTCACATTAAATATTGCTTTGATACTATATGTTTTATTGCACAGTGCCCCTTTCTTCTGCAGAAGGTTGTTAGATTGGTTGCTATTGTTTTCAGTTTTCCTAAAGGGACAAGAGACACTCAAGGAGTCTGTTGGGAGACAATTCTCCACAGTCTCTTGAGTTCTGCTAGAGGCACTGACAGCTTTTGTTCTGATGCAAACAGCCTTGGAAGATAAAGACAGGGTTTCCCTCACGATAAAGGGCCCATTTGTTTGCTGGCCAGGATAATACAATAAGGTCTCCTCCAAGGCAAAGGCTGGGTGGATTTGTTTGCAGCCCCTGATCAGGGACTCAGGTTCCTCTCCTGTGTCATAACCCCACTGCCTGTGTCATAACCCCACTGCCTGTGTCATAACTTATAGCACCCACCCAGCCAGCCACTCTGCAGCACTGGCCCTCAGGGGACCTAGAGGGTAAGGGCAACAACAGGAACACAAGCTCAAGCTGCCTGCTGTACTCTGAGTAATAAAGGCCTTTGTCTCTGACCCAGGAGTGCCCTGTGGCAGCTAATGTGTTAGTTTGCAAGTAGGGTAAAATATCAGACCCTTTATAGTTCTTGACAAAGAAACCTGAGAAGGAATCAGGAAATCAGGCACTAAACTTGGCAGGGTCTCCTGTGCCCCTCACCAGGGCCTTTTGTGTTATCACAAAACAGCCTCTCCAATATCCTTCATGCTAAAAGCATTTGCTTTTTCACATTCCCTTTTCTTTCTTAAGTTCCATTACAACTTGGTCTTGTGAATTTTACAAAATGAAAACTGTTGAAGAAATGATCGATTAGTAATTGCATAACCAAAATGAACAAGCACAATGGCCAAGTTACATTAACATGAGAAATCTTGATCTGCCCTTTGTATACAAAATTATGGTCCTTTTTAAAATCCAAGAACATACTAGTTCCATTTATAACTCTGTGCCTTTGCTCCTATTCTCCTACTTAAATGGAATAATTTTATTCACTCTTTCTGCCTTTAGAAATTCTACCTATTCTTGAATGGCCAGTTAAAATTTTATCTCTTCTTTGAAAACCTCCTTAGTATCTATCTCCCTTTCCCCCCATAAAAGTAGAATTATTCCACCCCTACAGATCCAGAATACTCTGTCCCACTCAGTAGTGAAGCATTTTTCCCACTGTATTAGAGTTGGCTATGGTTATCAATCTATCCAGCCATCCTGTATGCTTGCTGAGGCCATGGAAGATGGCATGTTTGCCTTGGTAACCCTAGCACCTGGCTGTAGCAGGTGTACAACAAAGACTCATTAAATTATTGCAATCTAATTATATATACTATTGATACTACTAAGCAGGAAAGAGTTGAACTACAATCAAACTATTCAAAACTCTATTAGTCTGCCATGAAGAAGAAGGGACAGGAAACTCTCTATTTTCTATTTCCAAATTTCTTTGAATATATCGATTATTATTGTCTACAGCCATATCACCTTGAACATGCCTGATCTCATCTGAATATACTGATTATAAAAAAATATAACATGAAATACACACTAAAGAGTTCTAAAGTACTTGCTAATTCAAAAAATATAACGCTCTCAAAGATGTTTCTCACTCTCCCTTGCTGTGGTCATTGCATTTCTTTTTTTATTATGGATTAATTCTAGCTGCCAGCTGTAATTAAATCTGTCAGCTCCTAGAATCTAGAAATGCAACCTCTGCCATGATAGAGCACCTACTGTGAATAACCAGGTCCCATGAATGTATTAAAATAAGTTTTTACCAGCACTGGCGAATTTGAAAGCCACAGCACATCTCAAATCCAAGCTTACTTTGCTAACTAAGAACTGCTCACCTGTGTTTCCACCTGGGGGATCTAGATCGTGACCGTGCCATCCTTTGACATGTGAGCCACTATCCACTTTTTATACTGCAAAGAAACACAGTATTAGCAAATCTGTAGAAAGAGCCTGCAATTTGCTCTAAAACACAGTGAATGTCACCAAGAAAAAGTTGCTTAACCCCTCTGTGCCACAGTTTCCTCATCTATAAAATAATAATAATAATAATAATAGCACCACCCTTATTGGGATGGATAAAATGTCAGGATAAAATGAATTAAATCAGGGATCAGAAAACTTTTTCTGTAAAGGGCCAAACAGTAACTAGGTTTTCCAGGCCATATAAAGTTTCTGATATATCTATTTCTTCCCTTTTTAAACAATTCTTTAAAAATGTAAAAACATGGCTAGATCACATTGAGGTGTGCTGTAAGTATAAAATACATGTCAGTTTCAAAGAAATGATACAAAAAAAGAAGGTAAGATATTTCATTAGTATATTTCTAATGTTGATTACATGTTGAAATAGTATTTTGGGTATATTGGGTTAAATACACTATATTATTAAAATTAATTTTTTAAAAATGTAAAAACTATTGTTAGTTCAAGGGCCATACAAAAATTGGCCTGTAGAGCCAAATGTACCATAGTTTGATGACCCCTGAGTTAAGTCATGAAAAGAGGCTGGCCGTGGTGGCTCACGCCTGTAAGCAGGCCGTGGTGGCTCACGCCTCCTCCCAGAGGAGGCCGAGATGGGCAGATTGCTCGAGGTCAGGAGTTCAAAACAAGCCAGAGCGAGACCCCGTGTCTACTAAAAATAGAAAGAAATTAATTGACCAACTAAAACTACATATACAAAATTTAGCTAGGCATGGTGGCGCATGCCTGTAGTCCCAGCTACTCGGGAGGCTGAGGCAGGAGGATTGCTTGAGTCCAGGAGTTTGAGGTTGCTGTGAGCTAGGCTGATGCCACGGCACTCACTCTAGCCTGGGAAACAAAGTGAGACTCTGTAAAAAAAAAAAAAAAAAAAAAAAAAAAAAAAGTCATGAAAAGAGCTTATTGGTGTCTGGCACACTGAAACTGACAAGTCTTCCAAAAAGAGAAAAAAATTACCCAGAATTCCTCTATCTGAACACAACCACTACTACTTTCCCATCTTTCATCATGTACAGAAACACTTCATGTAATCACAGTCAAAATGTTTATGAATACATGATAGTATATCTTCCTTTTCAAATTGTTGGATTATAAGAATTATAATTCCTAAGTATAATACTACTCAATTGCTGCCTGACTTTCCACCAAGTAAATATACCCCAAATCTAATTAAGCATTATTAGACATTTAGTTTGCTTCTGATTTTTAGCTAAAGCAAATGTCAAATAAGTAAATTTTAAAAGGTATTTCTAAACTGGATTTTCAAATATTCTTTAGTCTTTAAAAGAAACTGATAGCTTTAGGAAATGAATTTTAAACACATGTAATTAGGGTATAATCTTCTACACTAGCTATTATGTACATCTCAGTAGTCTACCTCAGTTCTGATACTATAATTAAGTAGTTCCCAATTTACTGGCCCCAAACCCCTGGTGCCTTTTAAAACTAATGCCATGGGTTCGTGAATAATCATAGAGCCACCATGCACAGACTACAGAATGAGTAAGTATATGTCTCATATAGTAAGTAGGTACCTCACTTTACGTATTTCTGAAGATACTGTGGTAATTACTAAAATATAAATGGTTTCTTACCACTATGCTGCTTTTCTACCCATGAATACAAAAAAGTACAATTATTATGCAGACATCAGTTTAAAAGGGGGTCCTCATACTCAAACATTTGCAAACTATTGTTATCATGAACTTCAGAAGGAAGTAAAAACATATAAGGTCAAAGGACTTAAACTAGATCACTCACCATAGGAAGGGCAATTAATTCAGTACACCGCGTCTTTCCAAAAAAGAATTTGAAGCTAGGAAGAACAATTAGTTCAAAAGTATTATGAAATTAAAACATTAAAGGAAAAAAATGTTTACTTAGTAACCAAAAATATCAAAATGTGTTCATTCAACAAATTTTACTGAGTACCTTTTATTTGCCAGGCAACATTCCAGGGATACAGCAATAAACAAAAATGGGAATAATTCCTGTCATGGTAAAGATTATATTCTATTTGGGAGATTCTAATTTAACTAAAGAAACTTTGGGTATCAGTTCCTACCTATTAAATTTAACAAAAATAATAAACCCAAAGGTTATGTATGTGGGGGAAGAGAAAATATTGCTGATGATAAAAAAGCAAAACTTTTCTTAATTAGAGAGTAATCTTTTCTTTCATTTTTTTGTTTATAAAACAGATTTATTGAGATACAGTTCACAAGCCATACAATTTACCCATTTAATGTGTACCATTCAATGATTTTTAGTATATTCACAGGGATGTACAATCATATCACAGTCTAATTTTAGAACATTTTCTTTACCTCTAAAAGAAACCCCATTAGTGGTGACTCCTCACTCCTCTCCTCCCCCACTTAGCCCTGGCAACCACTAATCTACTTTCTGTTTCTATGGAATTTGCCTATGCTGGATGTTTCACATAAATGGGATCATACAATATGTGGTTTTTCCTGACTGGCTTCTTAGCAGGATGTTTTCAAAGTTCATCCATGTTGTAGCATCCTTCTTTTGACCATAATCCCTTTTTGTGGTCAAATAATACATACTCCTTTGTATGAGTATACTATATTTTGTTCATTCATCTCATGATGCACATTTGGGTTGTTTCCACCTGTTGGCTATTATGAATAATGCTCCTATGAACATTTTTATACAGGTTTTTGTGTACAAAAATGGACATATGTTTTCATTCATCTTAGGCCTATATCCAGGAGTGGAATAGCTGGGTCATATGGTAATTCCATGTTTAACTTTTTGAAGAACTGTCAAACTTTTCCAAAGTGGCTGCACCATTTTATATTCCTACCAGCAGCGTATGAAGATTCTAATATCTCTACATCTTTGAAACACTTATTATCTGTCTTTTTAATTATAGCCATCCTAGTGGGTATGAAGTAGTATCTCATTATGGTTTTGATTTTTATTTATCTAATGACTAATGGAGGGGAATACTGAAACATGTAAGAAACTATGAAACTAACCATGCCCCCTTTCTTTTAATCTAGCAATTTAAGCTTAAACTTATTATTTTAAGAAAATAACTTAAAAGAAAAAAGCAGCTGTATATACTGTTTATATCAGCTTTATTTATAATAGGAAAGAAAATAACCCAGCAAAACTAGTTATAACCCAAATGCTCACCAATCAGTAAAATATTAAACAAACATATTAAGAAAATACATACATCTAGTTGCCGCCTACCTTTCTCCTACCCTTATGTGTGTCTTTTCCTCCACATACCCTGTTAGTTCATCACAGCACACTACTTGCTTTCCTTGCTCAGGCTGTACTGTTCCCACTACAAAGATGGCTGTCCCTCAGTTGGCCAGGGCCCCAACACTCTTCCACTGGTTTTCTCTTTCTTTCCCCCTGGGTTTCTTTCACCTTGGGAATTCTGGGTTTATTTTGCAATTATTTCAACACAGTATGAGTATTTATTTACATAATTATATTTATTTCAATAGGCAAAAGACTCCAAATATAATAGCATATCACAAAACACAAAACTCAAATGACATATGAGATGTTTAAATTCATTAGTAATTGGGAAAATGCAAATTAAGATCATAACTACTTTACATTCATCAGATTGACCAAAAAAAAAAAAAGTTGCGTATTCTAGAGTGTTGGCAAAGATGCAGAACAATAGGAACTCTCATGTACTGCTAGATGAATTAATTATACATGAGTACAGTATAACCAGTTTGAAAGTACAGTCACCCTTGGTATACTCACGGGACTGGTTCCAGGACCCCCGTGTGTACTAAAATCCATGCATACTCAAGTCTCACAGTTGCAACCCGCATAGACAAAAAGCCAGCCCTCTGAATAGACAGGTTTTGCATCCCACAAATAATGGATTGTTGATCCACAATTTGGTTGAAAAAAATCCACAAATAAAGAGACCTGTACAGTTCAAACCTGTGTTGTGCAAGGGTCAGCTGTAGTTTGGTAGTACCCAATAAAGTTGAACATACCAAATCCCACAGCCCACAATTCCATGCAGGAATATACCTTGGAACAGTGGTTTTCAAACTTTAGTGTGCACTGGAATCACCAGGAAGGCTAGTTAAAACACAAATTTGGGGGCCTTACTCCTGATATGGGCCACTTCTAGCAAGTTCTCAGGTGATATGGATGCTGCTGGTCCAGGGGCTAATTTAGATCCACTGGTTTTAAGGGAAAAGTGGTTCCCTTGGGATCACTTGGGAGAAAATGTTTACAAGTGAGATTTATTGCATGCAATAAAAGGAGTATCACTAAGAATATCGTCCAACTAAAAGCAGACCTACCATTCGATCCAGCAATCCCACTACTGGATAGCTACCCAAAGGAAAAGAAGTCATTTTATCAAAAAAACACCTGCACTCGAATGTTTATTGCAGCACAGTTCACAACTGCAAAGATCTGGAATCAACCCAAGTGCCCATCAGTTCACGAGTAGATTAACAGAATGTGGTATATGTATACCATGGAATACTACTCAGCCATATAAAAGGATGAATTAATGCCTTTTGTAGCAATTTGGAAAGAACTGGAGACTATTATCCTAAGCAAACTATCTAAAGAATGGAAAAACAAATGTCACACACACTCTCTAATAAACTGGAACTAACCAATGGGCATACAAGTGCACAGAGGGAAGTAAAAGTCACTGGAAATCAAGCAGAGGGAAGAGGGAAGGGGGCGAAGGGCAAAAGTGCACCTAACAGGTACAATGAACACTATTTGGGTGATGGGCACATTTATATCCCTGACTCAACCCTCATGGATGACTTTGAGGGGTTCAAGACTTCAGTGGAGGTAGTCACTGCCTATGGGGTAGAAACAGCAAGAGAATTAGAGTTAGAAGTGGAGCCCGAAGATGTAACTGAATTGCTGCAATCTAATGATCAAACTTGAACAGATAACGAGTTGCTTCTCATGCATGAGCAAAGAAAGTAGTTTCTTGAGATAGAATCTACTCCTGGTGAAGATGCTGTGAACATTGTTGAAATGACAACAAAGGATTTAGAATATTATATAACCGTAGTTGATAAAGCAGTGTCAGGGTTTGAGAGGACTTATTCCAATTTTGACAGAAGTTCTGTGGGTAAATGCTATTAAACAGCATCCATGCTACAGAGAAACTGATGAAAATTAGAGTCAACTGATGCAGCAAACTTCACTGTTGTCTTATTTTAAGAAATGTCCACAGCTATCCTAACCTTCAACAACCACCCAGTGAGCTGACAGCCATCAACATCAAGGCAAGACTCTACAGCAGCAAAAAAAGTATGACTTGCTGAAGGGTCAAATGATTGTTAGCATTTTTTAGCAATAAGATATTTTTAAATTAAGAGATATATATTGGGATTTTTCTAGACATAAAGCTATTGTATACTTCTTTTTTTTTTTTTTGAGACAGGGTCTCACTCTGTCACCCAGGCTGGAGTACAGTGGCACAATCACAGCTCACTGCAGCCTCAAATTCCTGGGCTAAAGGGATCCTCCTGCATCAGCCTCCTGGGACTACAGGTATACACCACCATGCCCAGCTAATTTTTAAGTTTTTTGTAGAGGTGAGGTCTCACTATGTTGCCTAGGCTGGGCTTAAACTCCTGGCCTCAAGCCATCCTCCCACCTCAGCCTCCCAAAGTGCTGGTATTACAGGTGTGAGCTACTGTGCCTAGCCTACTGTATACTTAATAGAACTTTAATACGGACTGGGAAACCAAAAAAATGTGTGCCTTGCTTTGTTGCAATATTTGCTTTATTTTCGTGGAGAACTAAACCCTCAGTATCTCTAGGGTATGCCTATACTCCAAACAGAATTAAATATATATAAAGCATTTGAGGACATTAAAAAAAAATCTATCTTGAATCAGAAATTCACAACTAAGAACAGAAATAGACCAAAAACAAACAAAACAAGAAATAAATGAAAGAAAAATAGTTAATTGAACTCAGGAGGAAAATGGAAAAAAAAAGACTAAATTATTTCAAAAGTGAAGAATAAATTATAAGATGTCTAAGGGAGAATAAACTTAAAAGAAAATTTAATAAGGGACATTGAAAGAAGGCAAGAAAATGACCAAGAAAATTAAAATGACATTGAAAGACACTGACAGAAGGTGAGAAAGAAAGGGCAGGGAAGAGATAAGGAGAGGGAGAGAATGGGCCAGAGAGAAAGCAGTGGAAACAGAAGATAGGTAAAGAAGGAATAATATTTGTATAATTGTAGTGCCTGAAGAATAAAAAACAAACACTAGAACTTAATATTTAAAACTGTAATTTAAGAAAACCTTTCAGAAATGAAAAAACACCTGAAATACCTAAATATACACATTTAAGGGCTCAGCAGGTACCTAGGAAAAATTAACCTAGAACAATTAACTCTGAAACATAGCCTAGTAAAAACTATTTTAGTTCAGTGATAAAGATATTATAAAATCTTCAAAACTTCTAGGCAAAAAGAATAAATAACTTACATATCCAAAGGAATTACACTAGCCTCAGATTATCAAATTTCTCAAAAACAAAATTACAAAGCAAGGTAAAAAACAGACCAGCATTAAAAATAAAAGTCAATATAGAAAGTAAGTGTGAACCAAGGATTTTATATCAGTAAAGGTGTCCTTCAAATATCAAGGCAACAGAAAAAGAGTGTTCAACATATAAGAATATAGGGAGGCCAGGTGCAGTGGCTCCTAGCACTCTGGGAGGCCAAGGTGGGCGGATTGCTCGAGGTCAGGAGTTCAAAACCAGCCTGAGCAAGAGCGAGACCCCATCTCCACTGTAATAGAAAGAAAT